GCACAAAAATTCAAACTTAATATCTGCTGAAAACACCAAACTGAAACAGACCAATTGTATGTGCTCTTAAATATATGTCTGTCAGACTGGGGTTCAGGTACATTCAGGCTATTCAGCAATTATGCCAGAAGATACTCAAAGCCACAGAATAAACCTGACCTGCTCTTTTTGAATATTCATCTTATTCACCTGTAGGTAGTGTTATTTTTAATTTTAAGATGAGCATTAATATAAAATGAAGAATCCAAAAGTTGTATAAACATTGTGATAAAACATAAAATGTCTGAGAATATTTCTTCCTCTAAACTGTTCAAGTTCATCACATTCTTGCTAACCCCAGGACATAGAAGCTTATTCTCCCATAGCTTTGGGAGTCTTATCAGTGTAGGAATTTGAGAAATACTGACTTGTATGGCTGATAGCCTAATGAAGTCTTGAATAATTCAGTTACAGAGTTCTGTAGTTTTGAAGAGGCAGTGTTCTGATGCTTTCGATGGGATACATGCTGAATCATTATTGGCTAAAGGAAAAGAAATAAGGTCACTCTTTTAATGCTTAACTTAAAACATGATTTTACCTTGGCATAGAGGGTTATGTTTTATACTCCCAAAGTACTTAGAAGGGAATATTATCTCTATTATGTAAAATATATAGTTATGTTCAGATGCTCTGAGATAATGTTCTAAATAGGTAGAGGACACTATTTAATACAGAAATCTACTTTTCAAATAGAAATTTATGTTATTAACTTACTTTTGTCTATTTTATAGCACTGTGCTGTGGCTTCCCTGCATCCCAAACGAAAACAAGTGACAGAATTGTTACTTAGAAAAGGAGCAAATGTCAATGAAAAAAATAAAGAGTAAGTATAGTTGCAGAAGGAGTTGTTTAGTTCTTAGAGAGGAAATGCAATAAAGTTAGAGGGAAAATTATCTTTTCCTTTTCTCCTCCCTGTAGTTTCATGACTCCCCTGCACGTTGCCGCGGAAAGAGCTCATAATGATGTCATGGAGGTTCTGCATAAGCATGGAGCAAAGGTGAGGTCACACAGAGGTAAAGGGCCCAGACTCGCACACCAGCCAGCTATGGAGTTGATTTACATCTCTTTTCTAATAAAAATAATTACCATGTTTCTTTGTCATTCACTGCAGTCTTCTAGAAAGCAGTAAAATGTAGTCAGCTACTGCCATTTGAAATAATTTCAACTTTGCATCTGTTATTCTTAAGTGGATACTAGAATTGATGTATTTTGATAGATAACTTTTCAATGGTAGTTAATCAGAAAATAATTTATGTAACTGATAGTCAAAACAGTACTACTTATTTAAAGGGATGTCTATATTCCCTCAAGTTGGAATAATGATTCCTTCAACCTGTGTGTTAAAGACATATTGGTGTTGTCTGGTTAATATATTCTGAAACTCTGAATTACTAGAAGGAGGAAGCAAGCAAATTGGTTGTTTTTCTAAAATGATTTGAACTTGCAAATGTTTAAATTGTCAAGAGTATATATTTTAAACCAGTAGTCTCAAATAGGCTACAAACATTCCATGGAGAATATAAGATGAGTGCCTTCCAGTATTAAAAAATGTATTAGAATTTCAATTTATAATCTTTTTGTTTAAGAATAAAGAAGTTGAGATTTGCTAATATGTGGTGCAGATTGAAGATGCCACCCTCATTAAGCCCACTTCATCCGAGCTGAATCATAGCAAATTCCAGGTTTTCTGAGGAAGAACGGGGCTCTTTTAGCATGAAGAGACAGTGGCGGACTTGTTCATCTGTTCACTCTCAGTGTATTGGTACATTTTGCACTTTACATGTGTAAAGTGGATTTATGGATATTATCCTAACTGGTACAACTTTATAAATAACACACTTGATAATCAGAAGGAGTGACCAAAAGAGGTAGTCTGGCTGGGCATGGTGGTACATATCTGTAATCCTGGCACTCAGGAAGCAGTAGGATCACAAGTTCAGATTTCAGAGGGAAGTATAGGAAGACCCTACCTCAAGCAATAAAAAGCTATTATTTTGTGAAATAATATTCTAAGCCGTTATTGTACTTAGTTGTTGTGGGGTTTTTTTGTTTAGAGTAGAAATAAGAGGATTCAAAATTTACTGATAATTCTATGATGACAAATGACTATGACACGTGCGCCGATACTTAATAAATATATATAATCAGACCCTTAATGAGAAAAGGTACATATTTTAGAGTGAATGAGGAAGCAACTCTTTTTTAACAGATTTTTTTAAATGAAGAGAACATTTTGAATATAGATTTTTAAAATGTTCTGTGACTTTGCTAAAAACTGAAATAAATGTTATCACTTAACCATCATATCTACATAACTTTAAAAACATGAAAATAGAATTTTTTAACCTGCTAAAAGTCTTTCCTAATTTGTGTTTGGATGGTTTCTGAACCTAAAACATAGTACTGCAATACCTTCTAATCACTTCGCAAGAACATTAGAAAAGATGGAGTTTTGCTAACAGATTTTCAGTTTTAACCTTAACATAATTAGCAATCATGTTAAAAATAAACATCATTATTTGGTAGGCATAGTTAACAATACATTTCTTCCATCAGCTCCACAGTTCTATATGAAATATTTTCAGCTAATGTAGCTATTGGAACCAGCTATCACAGTTAAACTTAGAATCACACTTTCAAATCCAATATCACAATTCTCCTTAAGACTTTTTTTTTAAATAGAACCAAAAAGTATATTTTGTATCATAGTAATTAAGATTTTTCAAGTTTAATTATTTCCTCTTTTTCCTGTCTTTTTCAATTCCTCTTTTTGTGTAAGTTTCACATTTATTTATAATGTATTAGTCTAGTATTGCGTGGATATAGTTTTACAAATGATCATGTATACTTATATTAAGAGAGTACTCAAAACTTTTTTTACTCAGTGCATGTAATCTAAAACTTCGCTTTAAAAAAATCTTTGCTGTTTTAAATGAAAATGTCAAGATGAGCTAGAATTGAGAAGGAACAGAATTCTACAGATTTATTACCTATTTTGTACATAGCACTACTGCCTTATTGTAGTATTTTGTCAAATAGAAAATACTAAGCTAAGTGGGCTTTCTGCTACACTTACGAACATCATGTTTTACCCATTAACCTGTTTTTGTAAATATCTTACAGCATTTATAATGCTCTTTAAAGATTATTAGCAGTGTCCTTCATTTTAGGAGAATAATATCTATTTCTGTAAGTCATTATATTTCAGAACAGTTCAGGGAAAAAATAACATGATTTTATAGCCTGTCCTGGTGAGCATTGTTCACTAGCATTGAGCTCCAAGACTCTCAATCTTTACCTGACCTTCACATGCATGATGCATTTTCATCAGTAATATCTTACTTCACCAGTGGGTATGTAATCTTAAATACCCTGCCAGTGATGTAGAATCACTTGTAGCCTAGTCTTTCCACTTTAGCAACTAAATTGAGAACTATGGTTATGAGGTACTTTTTGTTGTTGTTGTTGTTGTTTAACAGTATTGGAGTTTGAACTCAGGGTTTCATGGTTGCTAGGCAGGCGCTCTGTACCACTTGAGCCATGTTCACAGTCCTTTTTTTGCTTTTGTTATTTATTTTTCAGGTAAAATTTCTGTTTTTACCCAGGGCCAGCCTCAGACCTTGATCCTTCTACCTATAACCTCCAGCATAGCTGGAACCACAAAGCATGCACCATCATACCCAGCTTGTTTGTTGAGATGGGTCCACACCAACTTTTTGCCTGGCTGGCCTTGAACTGTGAACCTTGATCCTCCACATATCTTCCTCCTGTGGAGCTGAGATTACGGGTATAAGCCACCACACCCACCCCCTATTTGTGCATTAAAAGAGAGAAAGCAATCATATTTAGCCACAGTTACTAGTCAATAAGTATAAATTGCCATCAGTAGATCTCAAATGCCATATCAACTCCCATTCACTCATTCCCCAGTTCCCCAGGCAGGATGCCATTCCTCAGGGTGGTGCATCCCATGACTGATGTGTTGGTAAAAACTCCTTGTAAAAGCTCCGTTGCTTACTCTTGGGCTCTGTTTTTGTTTGCTTTGCATTTTCTTTCTGTGATTTATATTGATTTCGAAGCCACTCATGGTTTCCATTTGATTATAGAAGCAACGCTGTCCTATGATTAAGATTCAGCTCTTCTTAACACTGGTTCATCATCCTGCTTCTTCCCTTCCTCGTGTTGAATCAGTTTCTCAGAATAAGGGAGAAGAGTTTGGGAAGGAAACCTAATTACCATTAACTAATTTAGGCAGTTAGTCTGCCTAATTTTCCAGGCAGATAGAACTTAGTAAAAATATTCTTATAAGCCAAATATTCTTTTGTCCAAATGTTAGTGATAAATACAAATTTCATGTTCATTAAGCATGTTAAACTAAAGGCACTGTGTATATAAACCAAACAGGCATGATTTTGACTTTAGGATTCTCTACTTTATAGTTTTGTGACCTTGAATTAAATTTCTCTGAGCCTCAATTGACTCATCAATGATTGCAGAAAAAAAAATCTTATAAGACTTATATACCAAATCTCTTTAAAATTAGAAAATATAATCAACTACTTTAACTATCTTTGCTTTTATATTCCATTGTCTTTATATTCTGAGAACAAGTGTGGTTAAAACCTATTTGTTTAGAAGTATTTGGTAAGCATCTTCAAAGTGAAGTAGGAAATACCATTCTGATTGTATAGGAGAGTAGCAGGAAGTTGAAAGTGGATAGGAAGATGGTCATTCAGGGAAGGGAAGGGCTTGCTGTGATTTTCAATAAGGCACTCACAGACTGGTGACTGATTATTTCTTTAGAATCGATGAACAAAAGTTAATAGTGCACATCTGGTGTATTTCAAAAAGCTCTCATAGTTGATTTTTCTCATAAGAATGTGTTTGCAATGGTTTTTCAGATGAATGCACTGGATACCCTTGGTCAGACTGCTTTGCATAGAGCTGCCCTAGCAGGTCATCTGCAGACCTGCCGCCTCCTGCTAAGCTATGGCTCTGATCCCTCCATCATCTCCTTACAAGGCTTCACGGCAGCACAGATGGGAAATGAAGCAGTGCAGCAGATTCTGAGTGGTGAGTCAAAGAAGATAAATTATATGTTACACTTTCCTACCCCATTCCCACTGAAATACTCAAACTTTTCACCATTTGTTTTAAAGTACCTCCATGAAATATTTTCTTGGTCTGAATTTTTTTTTTTTTTTTTTATGCCTTTCCTTCCTTGTAGTTTAACCTATGGCCTTCCTCATCTCCCTTTTTTGGTAATATGAGGAAGATATCATGAGAAGGAGGCAGGCACATTTTTTAATGTTTTTAGTTTGAAAATGAAAACCTGAATCATATGTTATATGATCAAAGATGACTTGAAACTCATGTAAATAAGGTGGAATTGTGCTTCCTTGTAGTTTACCTATGGCCTTCCTCATCTCCCTTTTTTGGTAATATGAGGAAGATATCATGAGAAGGAGGCAGGCACATTTTTTAATGTTTTTAGTTTGAAAATGAAAACCTGAATCATATGTTATATGATCAAAGATGACTTGAAACTCATGTAAATAAGGTGGAATTGTGGTAGCTATATACTCTTTCAAATAGAGAAAAATTAAAGTCACTCCTATGGTAATAACCTTCAAGTTCTTATATATGTAATAATCTGACCTATCTTTTTGTCATTCTTAACTTCATTTACACTTATGAAATTGTCATATCTTTTCCTGATTTAAATATAATCAAAATCTCAGGCTGGAAGTATGGCTCAAATGAAAGAGTATCTGCTTAGCAAGCACAAGGCCCTGATTTCAATCCCCAGTACCACAAAAAGGAAAAAAAAGTCTTACTGAATGTCACAGTGAATGTTTACTGCAGAGTGAGATATTTTAATTATTTGGTTTGTAAAGATCAAACATAAAACTGATAGGAAAGTAGGCACTAGTTTCCTAATCCTCCCACCCCCCAAAAAAAAGAAAAATTATGAACTAGATACAAAACAATTTTAGTACAATTTACTCTTCTTTCCCATCTTTTAAATTTTATCTGAGTTATATCTGTTCTAAAATGACATAAACTAGCAGAGTAAAATGGAGAAGGCTACAGAGTAATAGTCAGAAGTTCTGATTACTTTTTGCTAACCTATAGTCCAATTGTTCTGAACTCTGTAAGGCACAATGCCCTCTTTTTTATACAAAGTATTTTATTATCTCCTCATTACTATCCAGAAATGGAATTCATAGATAATATGACCTAACTGTACAAATACTTCCAAAAAATCTACATAAAATACCAGACAATATGGGGAAATGACAACAAGCTATAATAAAGGAAAATCTATCTGGAGAATCTTTACTGTCAAATTAAGTTCTCTGTGAAGGAATGAAATTTTCTATTACAGGATTTTAAGCTTGAACTATTGAACATGTGACTTTTACTTCCCATTTGTGCAGAGCACTGGAATATTTGCTCAAAGAAGATCTTTCTGCCTTCTCAATAAATTCTAATACATTAAACATTTTGCTTGATTAGGAAATTACACCCTTTACTAGGCAGTTTCCATCAAAATAGGTGTGCCCATTTCAAATTGTTCTTAGAATTTAAATATTCAGCCATCTTATGTCTCTCAAATGCTAAAATCTAAAAATATCCAAAGTTTTAATTCTATGTACATAAACAGTTGTCCCTGTTTTGTTTGTTCAAGTGACAAACTAAAAATATTACCTACAGATACCCAAAGGGTATTAGCAGTTTTATCAACTGCCAGAATCACTGTCACAGAAACACAATATATGCATGCAGACAGGCTCTCACCTATCCTATCTCACCTAGTGTGCATGCACAACTAGAATGGAGACATGGATCAGGAAAGAGCAGAATAAAGGCAGTCAAAGGAAGAGCCAAGTATAAAGTATGGCCTCAGCAGAAAGTAGCATGGAGATAAACTCAGCAAATGCTTTCTGAGTCTTTTCTGTGTGAAAAGGAATATGATGATTAGCAAGGTTCTGGTTCCTTTCCTCAGCAGTTCCACAAACTAACAAATGTAATATAATGTCTCTTTTAACAAATAATAATTCAAAAATGTACTTCAGAAGATGAAACACTCTCTCCTTTCCTCTTTTTAATCTCAGTGTTTTATCTAAGTGTTATCAATATGATCAAATAGTTTGTCTTCCATTGAAGAATTCTTGAAACTTAATCTGTAAAAGTCACTCTTCTGAACAAAGGACTTTAGAAGAACTAAAGTAGTTCTGAAATCTAAAACCTTTTCATAGCATCACTTGATCTTCTCACTTGGACATTGGACTCAAAAGGTATCACAGGATAATGCAATCTTAAATCTGAAACTATGCTTTTTAAGAGTAAAAGATAATCTATGCCATGATTTGTCCAAAGTTCCACATAATAGATCCCAGGCCTAAAGTTGTGATCTCCTGGAGCTCACTCCCTTTGTAAAGCATGTGCCACACTTCATGTCCTTGAACATATTTTGGGTGATATGTTGTAAATTGTATTCTTTAAAAACCTGTTTATTTGTTCCAATGTAAGATGAATTTTTGGTTTGTTTATATTCAATTAATCAAAATACTAATTTTTCAGCCTCTAAACTTAACAGCCCAACTTAATTATATTCTATTTAGCATTGGTATTATACCTTCCAATTACACAGATATTTGAAATTGCATTTCCCTGAAGCCATTCAATAAATGTGAATTAAACAAATTTCTGTAATAGTCTATAATAGACTTACCCTTCCTATAATTCCTCTAATTTCAGGAGTAGTGTTTCTGTTTTTATTTTGAGAACATTGAGGCCAAAAAGAAAAAATTAAAACTAAGTTGTAAAAAGACAATTGACTTCCCTGGGTTTACATAAACAAATGTATAGCAAAGCTTTGTTACAGCACTTTGTAAAACCCATATGTCATAAAGATGTTTTGACCTTTTCTTCTAGGTTTCCTCACTGTCCTTTTCTCAAATTTTTGACCAGAAAATTTGAGGGATAGGATAATAGAGAAAGAGAAGGATTTATGTATGGTGGAGTTGATTTAAATTTGGCATCAGATGAGCTAGACACAGATTCAAGAATGGAAGCATATTTCTTATCTGAAACAATTTAGGGAAAACTTTATATTACATCTCAGAAATTTCTCCTCACCATATAATCTTTCCTGTAATTCACTGAGACTGACAATAACCTTTCCTTTCTTTTATGCAGAGAGCACACCTATACGTACTTCAGATGTGGACTATCGGCTCTTGGAGGCATCAAAAGCTGGTGACTTGGAAACTGTGAAGGTAAACCTGTGCCATAACCTCTCGGGGGAGGGAGACACTGTCGAACTTTGAGTAGAACTGCTCAAATCCAAATAATATAAAAATAGAAAATGATGGTCAGAGTATATCTTATAAACAGGAGAGATCTTTACTACTAAGGATTTCCCAGTATGTGTTTTATAGCAATGAAGAAACCATTTGGAAAAAAAAAAAATATACACATACAAATGCTTTTTATTCATTTTCTTCAGATTTAGGCCATATTCTAAATATGCAAATTTATTCAAACCTAGGCATTAATAAGATAACATTTGAAACATGTTTCTCGATCTTTTCCCAGAGATTCTCATGTATTTGCAGAAAGCACTCTTATGATCCCCCAATCATTGTAAACTATCTCAGAAGATGGATTTTCATTTCTATGTAACGATACTTGCTGAGAAACTTCATAGTTATTATTTGTAGTATAGTCACAATGGTGATAGATTTAATTTTTTCAAATATAAAATTGTATTTGACTATTTCTTATTTTGTTTTTATTTTATATTCAAGTATTGAATATATTTTTAAAAAGCACAATTGCCATATGTAATCATTCATTGAGAGAGGAAGTTAGCAAAAAAGGGGAGTTGGTCTTTTTAAGTTTTATTTTATTTTTTTGATGGCACTGGGATTTGAACTTAGGGCCTCCTACTTTCTAGGTAGGCTCTTTACTACTTGAGCCACTCTGCCAGTCCTTTATATATGTTTTTAAAGAAAGGCTAATTGTAAAATTGGTATTAACAATCATACATTTTACAAACTAAAGTGTAACACCTCTTATTAAGCAAACTCTACTTTCATGACTTTTAAGAAACTAATTTTAGCATTCTTGATGACATATACTGGTTGAAAATTTTAAAAACACTACAGTAGTTGCCTAGAAGTTTTATTTTTATTTCAATGTGTGGGCACTTCTGGGATCTCTTCCACTTTACATTTATTTACATTATTTAAAGGAAAATAGTGAGCTGGAGGCGTGGCTCAATCTGCCTAGCAAGCACGAAGCCTTGAGTTGAAACCCCACTACCACCAAAAAGAGGGAAAAAGAAAAATAACAAATTTTAGTTATAATAGCCAATGGGAAAAATTTTAAGTTTTCTTGGACCTAATAGTTATATAATATTTTTCTTTAAAAAAAACTGTCATTTGAAATGTATCCTAATAAAAGAAAAATCCTTGAATATAAAGTGGTTATGATTCCTTTTCTGTATCGCTCAATGATCATCTGAGCAATAAATTGCTGTGTGCTCATCATAATTAATGCATATTAAAAATGTATAGTATTAGTTGGGCACGCTAGCTCACATCTGTAATCCTAGATACTCCAGAGGCTGAGATTAGGAAGATTGTGGTTCCAGGCCAGACTGGGAGACCCTATTTCAACTGATTAAATGCTGGGAATGGTGGCACACACCTGTCATCCCAGCTACATAGAAAGCATATATAGGAGGATCATGTTCCAGACCAGCCCAGGCATGAACATGAGACCCTACTCAAAACATACCTAAAGCAAAAAGAGCTGGGAGTATGGCTCAAGTAGTGGAGTATCTGCCTAGCAAGCTTGAGGCTCTTAATTCAAATCCAATTACTGGGGAGTAGGAGGAGAAAGATATATACATTTTATATATAATTCTTAATTCCATCTGTTTTGTATGTAATAGATAAATATATACTATAGCTTTTGAGTTTCCTAAATAATGCATTTATAATGAAGGCCAAATTCATTTTATCAATGGAATGCAAGTGTCAAAAGAAAATAAAGCAGCACAAATTGAGAATTAGGCCTGATAAATGTCTTTCCCAAAATGTTTTAGAAAGTTAAGTTTTAGATGAAAAGGCTGTTTGCTGAGAAAAGTATTTGAAGTTCTGAAAAGTAGGAAGGAATGCTTTAGCATTCAAAAAGAAATGAAATAAAGAACTTGCATATATTGCAAAGTAATTATTTAGTAAGCAGGATGGGCTTTTGTTTTTGTAATCTCTCTGAATGTGTTTTGTTTCATTCCCTGTTTTCCAGTATTCTCTGTAAAAATAATGATTTAAAATGTAAAAGCCAGGAGAAAAAGCAACATCAGGGAGCAGTTTCAATCATACAGGGTTCCATAAAAGATGCTTACTACCAATTTTTGTTAACAATTTATTTATTTGTCATTTAATGTTTATCAGTTCTATTACTTATGTTTTAATATAGCTCCAGACACGCAGAAAAGACAAGATATTTTAACTAGCCAAGTGGCAGTGGCTCTGTAGATTTTAGAGCCTGGTGCCTTTTCATATAGAATTTATCCTGTCATGTAAAAATTGTAATACCTGAAAAGTCCTTGTTTTTATCCTACCAGTGTGACTGTTCCTTGTCTTAGTCCATCTGTTCTACTATAATAAAATACTATAGACAAGGTAATTTATAAACAATAGAAATTTTGTCAGTTCTAGAATCTTGGAAGCTCATGATCCAGTCTCCAGGAAATTCATTGTCTGTGAGAGGGCCCCATCTTTCTGATTCTACATTTCTGAATGTAGCACCTTGTTACTACATTCCTTGAAGTAAACAAACATTGTATCCTTACATGGTATAAGGGCAAAAAGGCCGGAATACTGGGTAGCCTGTTTTGTGAGGCCCTTAATCCCAGTCACAAAAGAGGACCCTCTCATGTACTCTTTACCTCCTAAATGTCACACCTGTTAATACTATTGCCTTGGAGATTAAGTTTCAATGTGAATTTTGGAGGGACACAAACATTAAGACTATAGCACTCAAGATATCAGTAGAAAAAGAGGTGTTTCATGTTTTTGTTTACGTAGAATGTAAGACTAGAAAATGCCTGGGAGCCTGTCCAGCATTCCTAGGAGCCTATATCATGCCACAGTTTGTCTACTTTATTTGACTGTTTTTCTTGTTACCCTTCTTATCACTTCCCTAAAGTTAGATAATTAAGAAAGTGAGGCATGATGCATGATGTAGCAAAAAATATGAAGAGATTAAAAAATTCGTGAAATGGGGTGTAGTCTTTATTCTACCCTTTACCAATTGTGAGCAGTATAAGTCACTTAACCCCTCTGAGCTTTGTTTTATTTATCTACAAAATGGAGATACTGATAAACTTCGCAGATAGATAGTAATTCTCTCATTGAAATAGTATGAGTTCTTCTGAATGAATTATTCACATATTATTATCATAATTCAGCTTTGACCACCAGTGATTCAGCCTCTCATTCCTTTCTTTGCTTTGTAAGCAAATATAACTAAGCTTATAATTTATATTGTGCTGAAATGGTAGCATTCAAAAAGACCAAAGGAGACAGAGGACATCTTGGAAGGAGATGGAAGTAAAGGCCCAAACTGGAGTATGATTAAAGTCAGTTTGACACCTACAGTTAAATATCTCAAATCCAAGTAAAGCACTGTTGACTCTGTGGTGTTGCAGTACTGTATCAAAGAGCCAAGTGAGTAGCCCAGGAAGAAAAGTAATTTTTTTCTGAACCATTTGGTTGTTTGATCCATGTTAGGACAGACTGGAAGTCTGTTGTCCTGTGGTCAACGCAAGTTGATCTTATTTGAGCAAAGTATGGCTAAGAGCGTTCTTTTCCAAGCAGATATGTTAGTTATGACAAGCAGTCTCAGGGAGGAGAAATTTACCATGAAAAGAAAGGCTTCATTTGCTGGAAAGTGCCTGCTTTGTTGTGGGTTTTCCTGTTGGATTAGGATTTGGGCCAAAAAATACGAACAGTGATTAAATTACTCTACATAGTTAGGGTATTTGTAGTCACTGTAAAACCAAGTATACTGGTAAGTCTAAACATCATATTATTTAATCTTTGGAAATAAATATTCATTAGAAAATTGTGATATATCCAAGATGCTGCACTATTTTAGAGGAAAGTGAAGAAATATTAATGTTCTTTTTCTGTTTGGCTCTGTGCAACATAAAAGCAACTTTGCAGCCCTCAAAATGTGAATTGCAGAGATCTGGAGGGCCGGCACTCCACACCCTTACACTTCGCAGCAGGCTATAATCGTGTATCTGTGGTCGAGTACCTTCTGCACCATGGTGCAGATGTCCATGCCAAAGACAAAGGGTATGTGTAAAAATTTACCTGTTCGGGTTCATTCTCTTCATGTTCAGTAAAAATTGTTCAAAGATTTTTCAAGTCTTAGAATTTTTTCCTCTTTGAAAATAATATGCACTAGGTGCCAGTGGCTCACACCTATACTCCTAGCTACTTGGGAGTCTTAAGATGAGAAGGGTTGTGGTTTCAGACCAAATTGGGCAAATAGTTTAGGAGACCACATCTCCACTATAGCCAGAGCAAAATGGACCGGAAGTGTGACTCAAGAGGTGAGCACCTGCTTTGCAAGCATGAAGCCCTAAGTTCAAACCCTACTCCCACCCAAATAATAATGATAATAATAATAATATGCATGTTTTTAAGTCAGAAACTAAAATATTATGGAAATTTATCATATAGAAAGTGAAGGTTCTATCATCTCACCCTGTAGAGGCAGTGTGAACATTGTTGTATGCAATCATCCAGTGATTTGAAATGCATATAGCAGCCTGTATGCAGTGTGGGAGGGCGCCATTCTGTACAGCCTGCAGTTCAGTTCACTTTCTTTTACCCAGTAGTGTATCTTGAGTGTCTTCCCATCTCAGTACTTACTAGTTCATCTCATCCTTTCTATGCCTGGAACAAGTAGGATTTTATTGCATTCGTTATCTGAATGCATTCAGATAATTTATAATTTTACTGTTTATCCTTTTTATTTTACTTTTTGCTATTGAAAACATAGTCTCTCCCAGAAAGAAACCATCCATCCCAGAGTCATTAGTATAAATAAAAACATAATTTTACTTTCTTTTTACTAACTTGGATATTCTGTTTTTATATTAGTAGATAAATTATTAGACTCTTAGAAACATCTTTTTCTTTTTTTTTTTTTTTTTTTTTTTTGGCTCTACTGGGGTTTGAACTCAGGGCCTCATGCTTCCTAGGCAAGTGCTCTACCACTTGAGTCAATCCACTCGCCCTGTTTTTTGTAGTGTGTTTTCAAGGTAGGGTCTCAAGAACTATTTGCCTGGACTGGCCTTGAGCCAGTCTTTTCTGCTCTCTGCCTCCTCAGTAGCTAGAATTACAGGCGTGAGCCACTGGTGCCTGGCCTATCTAGACAAATCTTAAAGCAGCCATGGAAACTACTTAGAAACGTGAGAAGAGTTTCCATATTCTGAGTTAATTTTACATCGTCAAAATAAGCCAACGCCTTTCTATGAAATTATGTAGCTGAGTCCTACAGAGTAAAATTATGTGTTTATCTTTTTTTTTTTTTGAGGGCCACTCGTCCCTATTTATCTTTTTAAAGAGACACATTACCATCATAAATATTCAATAATAATATTACTGGTTGTTTCAAAATATTGTAGCTCATTGGAGAGCAACCAATATTTGTTTCTATTGCTCTTTTTAGCACCTACCATATTTCATTAAAACTTTTTTTTTTTTTTTTTTTTTTTTGCAATACTGGGGTTTTCTTTAACTCAGAGTTTTGTACTTGTTAGGCAAACACTAGCACTTGAACCATATCCCCAGCCCTTTCTTCACTTTCATTTTACAGATAGGGTCTTGCACTTTTTTCTTGGGGCCAGCCTCAGATTTTGATCCTTTCACCTATGCTTCCCATGTAGCCATGACTACACACACAGACCACTATACCTGGCTTACCAGTTGAGATGAGGTCTCACTAACATTTTGCAGGAGCTGGTCTCACCACAATTCTCCCCAGCTCTGCTTTCTGAGTAGCTAAGATTACAGACATGAGCCACCGCATCCAGCCACAAGACTCTTTAAAAGAAAGTCATTGATTTCTAAATTAAAGGGTATGTCATGCCTTGTTTTTTCTATGTCTTATGTACAACTTTAAACTTACTCTTTTGATGTACCTTTTTTTAATGCAGCATGTTTTTGGTCGAAATTTTAGAATGCCTCCTGCCTTCTAATTAGTACTTAGTCATCTCAGAATAGAATAGTTTGCTAATAAGTTGAGACAAGGAAATTTTCTTATAGTTGGCATTATTATTTTCCCCAGTGCATACTTTTCTGAATCACTTGGGTTGTGGGTTTTCATTACATGGCACCTAAGAATTTACACCTATGCACAGAAACCACCTATGAATTAAAAAATAAGAACCAGGAGCTGGGGGCATAGCTCAAGCAATAGAGCACTTGCCTAATAAGCCTGAGATGCTTATTTCAATCCCCAGTACTGCAAAGACGAACCACCAAAGCCAAAAGGTATTTATTTATTGCTCAAATAAGTACAAATGCATTGTATATCTTGTAAGTATTATGTAATCAATTCACAATATCTCTTTCTCACTCTTTCAGCTTGTTTTGAGGCTGGCTCTTACTCTGTAGCCAGGCTGGCCTTCATCATCCTGCCTCAACCTCCTGAGTGCCAGGATTATAGATGAATACCACCACACCCAGCTATGATTTTCATTAGTAAAACCCGAATAGAAGAAAATCTGAAAGGTGGCAAAGCCAGATTGTTAGTTAGCTATTCCTGAGGTCACTTTGTAGCATAGTTCTTTACATTGCCAGGTAAAAATTTGAATTAAAGGTATTGTGATGGAATTGTATTCTGTGAGTATATTCCTGTATGTATTTTAAAGATAATGATTGCTGTGAGATATATATATACATACATACATACATACATACATACATACATATATACTTCCAAGAAACAGAAGAAAAATGCTTACATCAAAAGGAACATTTTAAAAATTAGTAATCCTTGTTTAGAAACAGGTGGCAAATTTTAATAGACCACGGGGTAATTATTTATTTTTTGAGTGAATATTGTATATAGCAATGCCACAGAAGTGTGTTATTTTTCTTATAACAATAGTTTTCACTGAAAGACTTGTTTTATGACTTTAAAATAACTTTGTTTTGTGTAGAGGCTTGGTGCCCCTTCATAATGCCTGCTCCTATGGACATTACGAGGTAGCTGAGCTTTTAGTGAGACATGGGGCTTCGGTCAATGTGGCGGACTTATGGAAATTTACCCCTCTACATGAAGCAGCAGCTAAAGGAAAATATGAAATTTGCAAACTCCTTTTAAAAGTACGTAGTTTTAAAACTATGAAATATAAAGTAACTGTGTGGGTTTTGCTTATTACTTAAAAATAAGTCAGAGTATTTTGTTCTACTAAGAACAATAGGACTGTAGCGACAGTTTCCTTTTCCTTTACAGGAATGTTTATCAGGACTGTGTATCCTGATACTTACGCAGCTTTGAGTAGTGTCTGCAGTCTCTTTTTGAATAGATTTGATTAAGGTCATTTTGTCAAAGTAGGTTTTGGAAGAGTTGGTTTCGTTTGTATCATGTATCTAGTACTTAACAGGATCCATAAAAAAATCGTAAGAGCACAATAAGTTTTTTACTCAAGTTGCTCTTTTTCCTGCTGTTTTAATATTAACTAATTCATTCCTTATCATTAAACATTAATTATATATGTCATGAGAACTTAATATCAGTTGTTAAATAAAATTTTTATTAGTCACATAGATTTGGGGAATATATGAGAAATAGTAGGAAGTAGTACATGAAATTAACAATAATTTTGTACTTTTTAAAATTATGACCAGGCATATATTTATGTGGGTTTTTTTCCTCTCTTTTTACTACAGAAAACAAAAATTTCTAGTTGGAAACAAATAAAACCTTCTCCCACCCCTTATATGGTATCAAATGTTCTTGTGAGTCTTAAGAAAAGCACTATATTTGATAATCATTTTTATTATCACTAACTGGTAAGAAATAATGTCAGGTCATTGTGAATCTGTTGTCTAGTTTGGATTATTCCTAATTTCCACAGTGGGTCAACAGCAGTCTATAATAAAAACCCTTGGCTTATTTATTTCATAGGTTTAGGTAATTAAACTTTTAAAATCAATTTGAATACATTTATACATAATATGATAGGTGGTAAGATATAATGAGACTATAAAAAATACTGATGAAACTTTTTTCTTACTGATGGCATTTAGAATGAAGGTACCTTTTCTACCTGTGTGTCTTCCTTTCCTCTCTTCTTCTTCATGATGCCCCAGAATATCTTTATGTAATTAAAGTCTGACCATAGTTAAAATCCAGGCCCATTTTAAAAGAAAAGAAATTTCCTAAGACCTCTTGGGGTATAAAAAATAGTCTATTATGTGGAGAGCAAAAGACAACTCACCCTGCCTACGTCTCCATCACCAGTGATCCAGATCTGGGCTTTGATTAAGTAGCAGTTACAATATGTTGCAAAGTAAGGAGTTTAGAAAATAAAGCAGTTGCTTCTCTTTTTCAAAATGCATATAGAATAGATATCTTTCCAGATGAGTGAAGGTGTGATATGCGTACCTACTAAAAGAAAGATGCTACAGAAATGCAAACCCCATTTGGTTTTTTCCTTTATAGCATGGAGCTGATCCAACTAAAAAGAACAGAGATGGAAATACGCCTCTGGATTTGGTCAAAGAAGGAGATACAGATATTCAGGACTTACTGAGAGGGGATGCTGCCTTGTTGGATGCTGCCAAGAAAGGCTGCCTGGCAAGAGTGCAGAAGCTCTGTACGCCAGAGAATATCAACTGCAGAGACACCCAGGGCAGAAACTCAACTCCTCTGCACCTAGCAGGTAAGTATCACCAGTGCTTCCAGATCTCATTTTCTTTCTTAAATGCCTGGTACGCTTCACCGAAAGCTGCAAGAAATGCTGCTCAAAAAGGGGGGCTTCTCAGTGAAATGCTTTTGATTGACATATTTTCTAGATTCTTATTGTGACTCATGTGAGAACAGGATTGGCTTTTGAAGTAAAAATAATGAAAAATCTTAACATTTCCCATTATTGTCTGTACTCATAGATGTCTCTTCTCTTAAGCTGACACATTTCCTTTTTCCCTCTGATAGCAGGCTACAATAACCTGGAAGTAGCTGAGTATCTTCTAGAGCATGGAGCAGATGTTAATGCCCAGGACAAAGGCGGTTTAATTCCTCTTCATAATGCAGCATCTTATGGGGTGAGCACACTGAGCTAAAATCTAGAAGGCTTCTTTAACATTTACTAATTTACTAGTTATCTAACCAGTTGCATAGTTTAACAATTTTAGTCTTCTGTCAAGTTTTCTCTCACCTTCACAGTTAAGTATAACTATTTTTTGGTCAATAACCATGCTTTTTAAAACTTTCTGATCTCTCTCCAATCTTACACCTGTGTGTAACAGGTACTTAGTTAATTCTTATGGGCACAGATAATATATCTTAATTCTACATTTTATTAACTGTAAAAACCAAGAATCTCCTATATAGGCATGGAAATTATGGTGGCTTTGTTTGTCATCAGTATCTTAAAAATGTTCACATAATTGAGCAGTGGGTGTACAGAGTTTCCTAGAATTCAAACAATTAAGTAAAATTCCACAGTGAAAGTCTAGAGTCATCCATTCAAGCAGTATAACTGTAACCATCAGCTAGAAGAGAAATATATTGTAATGCCTTTATGCCCTTTATAAGAATTAACTAGAAGCCACCAAACCCAAGTCAGGCCTGATTGTGGTAGAAGTAAGACAAGTGTTCATGTGCTTGTCATGTGTTCTTCCACATATCCCATTTGACTAAAAATCCGTACACACCAGATTGCACATGCCGGGTGTTCTCACAGTTGGATTCACTTTTGATAAGGACGATTTCTAGATTTTAGTGTAAATAAAATCTAAACTAACCACCTTGAATTCCATATTTTCCCTTTGTACTTTCTTCTCCCTTGCTCTTTATAATATCCTTATCTTCTTAGTCTACTCTGCATAAGACCAGTATTTCAGGGAGACATCTGAATGAGAAAACTTTTTAGAAAAGTGAACAGTTCTAAATGAAGGACAGGAAGGTAAAACAGGTCCTGTCCGGTGGTGGATATCATTGGGTTGTGGGGGAGGGTAAATGGTTAAAGAGGAGGAATCTGGTCGATGTACTTTGAATATGTATATGAAAATTGAATGCTGAAACCTGTTAAAATTGTTCTAAAAGTGGGAGGAGAAGAGATGAGGGAGAACAGTGGAAGGAGTGAATCTAATTAAGATATATTGTAAGTGTATATGTAAATGTCACAATGAAACACCTCTGTACAACTAATATATTCTAATAAAAATTTTTTAAGTCAAAGTTCCATTTCAGTTGAATAAACAGGAAAAGAATTATTCTTCTAAGTATGATATAAATTAATTGAAAGTTACCTTATATAATACACATATATACTAGTAGTACTGAAATCCTTTTGAAATCATAGTAATCTTTCCAAAAATGATTAATCACTTATTAAAAATTTCAGAATTTTCTTTTCACCTTAATTTCACATAAAATTCTCCCCTTCATTGTAATAACATTAATAACAATGAAATAAGTATTTCTGCTTAATACCTGGTATGCTAAATATTTGTTGCTGACATGCTATACCTACACTTGGGTGTGATTCTTTTATCTTCAAGTTATAACTATACATTTGAAGACTAATTTTCAACCCTTCTTAGCATGATCCTTCTCTTTATATTGTGTTTTACTAATCCTCAAAGCTGATGGGATCAGTAAAAGTTAAATCAAGAATCTTTTATTTTCTGAGTAAGCCTACTAGTGAGTAAAGGTAGGTGGTAGCAATAGAATTATTGTAATGATCTGAGATAACCAAAACTTATGTTACTATTAACTGTGTAGACCACAATAGAACCCATACGTTGTGGCTGTAGGGAAGGTCTGTCTCATCAGTCTTCTCCTTTCATAGTCTTCACAGCTGGCCTAGACCATAAAAACATAAGAACTTACAAAAATAATTTTACCTTTATTTAACCCCCATTCTCATGGGAAAAATGTTGAGATGTTATTTATTTCCGTATATGTGTGATTTGATGACCAGTATGAAGGGAATAAGACTTACACTGATTCTCTTTTTTGGATAAATAGTAATGTAGTGTTCAAATTGACCTTGTCTTACTTCATGCTCCCTGGAAGCCCTCTTGTCATTAGCTAAAGGAAGGTAATGTAGCCAGTCCCATTGTTACATTTTCATAAACTTGTTTCACCATTATCCACAATTCCTGCACTCCTTTTCGTAACTCCAAGTGAGGGAAAAAAAAAAAGCATTTTTTCACTGTCTCTTTTTTTTTTTTTTGGTTACACTGTTGTCAAATCCCTACTGCTTTGCTCTTTGTAAATGCAGAAAACTTACTAAGGTGAAAATGAATAGAAAACTCCTCAAGCTGTGTTGAAGACATTTGATAGGTTTTGATCAACCTAGTTCATCCCATCCTTGTTTTGAAGAATGCAAATGAGCTAGATAATGTGTTTATGGCAGGTGTTTATACCTCTGTGTGGGTGGATTATTTGAGTTTAAAAATCCTTCATGTATTAAACTGATGAATTAAAAAAATCAAATATCTGTGAGTTAATGACTATGTTCTATTAATTCACAAAAACCTTTATTTTCTTGGTTTCTTTACTTTTTCTAACTATCACATTTTTCACATGGTAATAATAACTCTCGTGACATATAGTGACTCTAAGTTGACAGTGAGGTCATCCTTCCTGTTTAGAATCTCTGCTCTGAAAAATAATTTTATTTAATATCACTTGTAAAACTGTAATCCATATAATCAGTAACCATATCAAATCTCAGTTTCAACTGAAATGAAGACTAATGTCAACATGATACAGGCAGTCCTTAACTGTCAATTTATAATTGTTTGATTAATAATTTTTCAACTTTACAATGGTGCCAAGTGATACGCATTCAGTGGAACCATACTTTGAATTTCAATCTTTTCCTGGGTTAGCAATATATAATATAGTGCTCTTTTTGGATGCTTGGCAAACCAATGAGCCACAGCTCCCAGTCAGATCCTGGATCATAAGGGGAAACAACTAACACTCCACAGTGGACTGTGGTGCTAAGCTGTGATGATCAGTAGTTTAGGTATATTCAATGCATTTCCAGTTTAAGATGTTTTCAGTTTACAGTGGCTTTATCAGAGCATAATATTTCATAAGTCAAAGACCATCTTTTTCGGTAGTACTGGAAACTTGGCTTCATGCTTGCTAGGCAGGCTCTCTACGACTTGAGCTACTCTACCAGCCCTTTTTGTGTTGGGCGTTTTTGAGATAGTCTCTCACAAACTATTTGCCCGGATTGGCATTGAACCTCGATCCTCCTGATCTCTGCCTCCTAAGTGGCTAGAATTACAGACATGAGCCACCGGTGACCAGCTTCAAATACCATCTTTATAAATAATTTTAAAGCTACTTTGTGTTCCTTTAAAGGGCAGATGTTGTAATTACCTTTAGATATATAAATTAATATAACTTTCAGAAGTTCCTTTTTATTCATGCTACACATATGCCTTTGCTAGTTATTTTAATGAAATTGTAGGATTACAATCCACATTTCCCTGTTAGGATTGCAAAACACTGGTTATATTATGTATTTATCTCAGTTACATTTGAACTGGCCTGGCTTCATAGTGTATATGGTATGCTTGCCCTGAAAAAACAGTCATTTTGTGGAGTAGATTTTTATGGTTCTTCATCTGGAATAGAGGCTTCTATATTAAAAATAAAGCAGCTTGTTTTAGATACAGTGTTATCCAATGATCTCTACTTAGGTGGTTTCTCTTTAATACCATACTCTCACCTATTTTCAGCTTGTCAGGAAAATGGCTCTCATATTATAGTCTAGCAAGACCCCACAGACATCTGTGATACCATGAAAAGACCTAAAGTTGGGGTCTGCACCTATGGTGTAGTCTTCACTTTCTGCTCAGTAATCCAGTGGTCTTTACCAGCTGCTTTAATCTTTCCAACCTTCAGTTTTTTTTTCAATGGTGAAAGTTGGAAGCCAAGACCTTCTTTCGGGGGTTATTGAAATGATAAATGAGCCAGCGCATGTAGAAAATGAATTCTCTAACCTAAGACACTACAAAAGTACAAAGTCATACTATTATTATAGCTTAACTCATTTCACAGTTCATGTCGTGGTGCAGGCAGAAAAGGGCTGCAGGTCACTCCTGCATCTCACAGTCTGAGGGATAATCCATGTTGGACCAGGTCAACATCAGTATTAAGTAGACAGAGATTACTTGACTAGTCTGGAAATAAAAGAAGAAACCAGACACAATCCTAGTTATTTGGGAGACTGAGTTCAGGAGGACCGAGGTTCCAGACCAGCCCAGGCAAATACTGCACTTTCACGACATCCCAATCTCCAAAATAGCCAAAGCAAATGGGTTGGAAGCGTGACTCAAGCAGCATAGCTCCTGCTTTGCAAGCCTGAAGCCCTGTATTCAAACTCCAGTCCCACACACACAATAAAAGAACTATATGAGATTTTTGTGAAAATACATAATTTCCTTATGTATTTATTTATTGGTGATTATCCCCTGGTGCATATTTGCGTTTTCTTTTTTTCCCTAGAGAGCTCAGTCGACTCTGTGTGTCTTTGGGCCTTTGTTATATAAAAAGGGCTGGCCACCTCAGTTTTTCCAAATGGAGGAAGGCAAACTTTAAGAAGCTTAAATAAAAGTTACAAGTTTTGTGAAAGTTGGTATTAATGGCAATGTGCCTTATTTTGTTTAGGGTTCTTTGTATTAGAATGCCTTGTATTTTTTAATGTACTGTTAAACACTTGGACGGTTAATTTCTCTTCAATCAATATAAAGAATTAACATTTGTCACCACAAAAGCAATGTAATTTTCTGTTTTCAGAATAAATCAATTGGCTTGTTAGTTTTCTCTCTCGAGTTTTTCATTTTCCAATGCTTTCCCTAAAACATATTGTACTCGGGGTATTCCTGACCTTGTAATAAAGACCCTGTGCTAGTAAGCCGAAACACATTTCCCTTCTCCCTACTTCCACCTTTCTAAAATTAAGATAAAGCCTTCCCGGCCTTGTTATGTTGTATTTGTCATTTAAAGCATTTTCGGTTGCAACTGGGTTCTGAAAAACCTGTTAAATTGGCTCTTTCTCCTGGAAACATTTCTAGACCTTCCAGTTCCCCCTTTGCTGTTCTGTGGTGAATAGAGCTGAGCTGCAGCATATTTATTGCCTTTGTCAGCCTTAATTTTCAGTTACTGTATTTTTTTGCCCCAGTAGTATAACTACTTAAAAGAATTAAAGAGCTCAAGAATTGTGTTTTTAGTCTACTTGAATAGTAATATACTCCTTCCTATTTGTTGCTCTTTTAGACATTTGTCAGCAAATTTAACAAGCATGTAATTGGTTTCTCTAAGCATAAGCTATAAGTTCAGTATAAAGAAAGTTTAATAATATATGTTGGATATACAATTCATTTTATATACATACATATATGAACTCGTAATTTTCCTTAAACTATCTAATTTTGGAAGTCTATACAAATAAGTCTGCCAAATTATATTATTCTGCTAGTGAACATTGGAGTAGAATAAAATTAATCATCAGAAACATAAAGATCTTATACCCTTACTTGGGAGAAAGGTCAAAATTATTCTGTGCTTTTGGATTAACTGAGCAAAAATTGCTTTTTCTAACACAGTATCCTTTGATTAAGGGAGATAAATTACTGGGTTTTATTTCATTTTAAGTGATTTTGATCCTACCAAAGATGTGATCTCTCTTTTCATCTTTCATGTTGGGAAGTCTAGAAATAATTAAACTATAAAATTAATTTTGTAATCTCAATATCCCAAAAGGATCACAAATCATAAATATAGTCTGTTCGTAGAAGCGCTAATCCGATTATGCTGCCTTTTTTTTCTTTTCCTTTGTCAGCAATGGGAAGCTTTTCTTGGGAGTTGACTAATCTATACTTTCCTTTTAGGATAAATTTTCTTCATTTTGCTTTTGGAAATTACAGTTCCTAAAATAAGTAAATACTTATATTTTATTTTTTAAAAACCTTTCGTACTGCCTCAGGAAAGGTACCTGTTATTTTTCAGAGTATCCTCAAGGGAGCAGAAAAGACTGTATTTAAGGAATATACAAAACATCATTTCTTAAATCCCACCTTGGGATCTTTCTTTGACTTCCCCATCTCTTGTCTCTTTCCGTTTTCACATCAGTCTCAGAAAGTTCAATATAGAGTAATTGAACAACAGCATGAATTAGAAATGTATTCTTAACAGATAATGTGCTTCCAAATTAATTATCAAAAGTGACTCAGTTATCCATAAGGGACGCAAATGTGCCAGTTACGCAAAATTACAGAATATTTGAGTTAAAATGAATTGCAAAAGTACTTTAGAGGTTACCAACCTAGCAATCAAGATGTTTTTTAAATGTACACATTGTTTTCGGTATTCTTTAAAGCCTAATTATTGAATCAGTATTTCATTCCTAATTGATTGTCTTAAGCTTATTTTATAAAGACTTTTAGGAAAAAGCTGAAGCCTTTTGCTATCTTGAGATCTTATTATTTGAGAGAACCTGCTGCCTTTGAAACTTTCTCTTCATTACAATTCTCCTATACTTATTTCCTCTTTTGTCTACACAGAGGATACTTCTCTCTTTTTTCAGAATATTATTTTTTGGCTTTATTCCTCTTATTATTTTTTTCTATACTTCTTAGCTTATTTATCAAGTAGATAGAACTATTAATTCAATATCATATTTCTCCCAAAGTCCCTATCCCCAGTGCCACCGTACTGGGTTTCAGCTAATGTTTGTTGTTGTATCAGTGGGTAGGAGAGAATGAGCAAATAAATAAATGATACCCTCTTCCCTGTGCTCCAGCCTTTTCTCTCAAACCAGTTAGAGAGCATCAGCACATTGATATTTTACCTCCAAAGTCACATAATCCAAGTGAACCTTATCTTTCTTATCCTTTCATGCCTACTTAAACTTTGGCTACCTAATGTCTGTTAATAGTTCTACCTTTGTTTTTTTAATCTTCTATTCTTCTCCCTAAATATAAGTATCATTCTCTTTTGTAGTGAACTTTTTTTTTCTAAATCCAATTTCTTCCTTCAATTTTTTTTCAAATTTGGTCCCTCTTTGTCATCTTCTCTCAGCATCACAGTTTAGGGTCTCATCACCTCATGCCAGGTTATTAGGGTGTCCACTACTCACTTTTTCTCCTCTAAATCATTTTAGACACAAAGGTTAATTTTTTGTAAAATGTTGTTTTAGTATCTTACTTTCCCAAAGGCTGAAGAAAATGACATTGAGAATCTTTGAGATGAGTATTTTGATAATTAGATCAGATCACCATAGGTTAGAAGAAAAATGGGATTAGAAGAGAAGCAGTGGGTATAGAATTCTTGTGTGAAAGTTTGACTGATGGATTAAATCATTAATTAAAGACCTAAAGTCCTCACATCAAGTACAAGTTCATTTTATGTATTTGCTTTTAAGATAGATCTGAATATGTTAGAAGACTGGATTTTTTGTAAAAGAAATGCAAAATTACAGGGTAAAAGAATAATTGTGAAACTCAGATTTTTGGAAGAAGAAAAAAAGTCCAAAGTATAGATAGAGGGATGGAATTGTTTTAGAAGAAGCTTCTGTTAAGATGAGAACACAGATGCAGAGTGAATTGTTAATAGAGTATGTACAGTGGAACCATGCATACTTACCCAATGCTCTCATTCCTAACTCTGCAACCTCTTGTTTTTCTCAGCATGTCGACATAGCAGCATTACTGATAAAACACAACACATGTGTAAATGCAACTGATAAGTGGGCATTTACTCCTCTTCATGAAGCAGCCCAAAAAGGAAGGACACAGTTGTGTGCCCTACTACTAGCACATGGTGCAGATCCAACTATGAAGAACCAAGAGGGTCAGACACCGTTAGATCTGGCAACAGTAAGTCCTCATTTCACATACTTAGTATTGTTAGAATTTCAGAAGTGACAGTAGTACATTCTGGGACTCAGCAAATTTACCTTTAGTAGTGCTTATTCAACTTATTCAACTTAGAAATTTCCTCCTGAAATTTTCGAAGTTGTACTTTTTATATTAAATTATTTAAAACTGTTAAAGTAAACTAAGCAGTAAGTTAGCTTTAATTATCTTGCCCTGCTTAGCTTGGGGGAGGAAGCGGATATGAATCATAGGAAACCACATTTTTAGCCTGTATCCTCAAAGAATTATATTTAGTAAGATACCTTTGGTGTGTGGCATATTATTGTAGACTAATGTTTATGATAATTTATCTGCGTCTATGAGATAGAAAAATTCATTCTGGTCAATATAGTAGAATTAATGAGAATCTAAAGTAAATTAGCAACTGTAGGAGTATTTTCAAAGCCAGGAATTAAATTTTTGTGGCTAGGTAATATCTAGTTGTTAAATTAAACATTGCTTTTTCTTCCCTGAACTTTCTGAAAATTCAGGAGTTACCTAATAGTCACAAATAATTTATTTTTTAAGCCAGAAATATCTTTCCAAATTATGTTCTGTTTTCATTTATCTGTTGCTGAGTAAGAAGCCATTTCAAAACTACTTAGTAGCTTAAAATAATAATGTCTTATTTCTCATGCTTCTGTATGTTAGCTAGGAGGGACCTATGCTAGCTGCATACACACCTTGTGGCTGAAGCAGGAACATTCACATAAAGATGGTTTTACTCATGTGCCTGGGGCCTTGGCAGAGGTGGCTAGAAAGCTGGAACCTCTCCATATCTGTCCCCACATGGCATCTCATCAATAGTCTCACTGGAATCTTTTTATGAGATAGTTGCATCTCAAGAGAGGGAAGGCAAAAGCTGCTATTGCTCTTAAAGGCTGAGCCTGGAACTGACTGCTGTCATCCCCAACACATTTGGTTGGACAAAGCAAGCCATGAGGGCAGCTGTATTTAGGGATAAGGAAGAAGACTCACCTTTTTGAAGGGAAAAACAAAGAGGTTTTGATCACCTCTAATCTATATCATCCTCCAATTGGCCACAAATTAATTACAGTTCTCTCACATTCAAACTTGGGTGTGAACCCCTCCCAAGAGGGGTGCAATAGCAATTCTGAAATTCAGAAAGGTACACGCTATCTGAGCCATTTACTCTGGAGTTAGGGAATGGTCCTTGGTTATAGCCAGTTCTGCTCCCAGGAAGTAGTTTTCTGTAGCTCTTGGCTATGCTCTCTGAATCATCCCACATTTACAGTTAAATGGCTTTCTCAACTTGTTCCTACAAATTTGGGAACCCTGAGCCTTTCTATATTTTGATCTACCTATCCCTTTTAGTCCAAACTGGTGCAGTACCTTTGTGAACATCTGGATTTCCTATCAAGTTGTATACACTCCCATCAGGTACACCTACAAACTTGAATCACAAGTCAAGGTGCTGTGGGGCAATGCCCTTAAGATTCTTAGAAGCTCTTTCTGCCAGCTAAGAGTTCACCAGTTACCACCTCACAGGTCTTGTTAAGCTTTTAGGTAATAAAATCAATACCTCTGAATTGCCTTTACTCTGAGACCATGTTTGATTGTCAGTACTATGTATTTGATCTTTGGCTTGAGGCTTTATTACTTTGAGAAACTTTTACTGGTCAAAGGTTGGCATGATGAATAGTATTATTTCCAACCTAGTAAATTCTGGGTGAATATATTTCCTTACAAAGAACTGAACAGTTATTTTCTTAGTTCATTTCTGCCTTCCTATTTTATCCAAACAAATGAAGCAAGCCAGTTCAATTGGCAGAGTCAGTGTTCTTCATGGAAATCCTAGCTAATCCCTAGCAAATCCTCAAATTTATTAGGATTATTTTCTACCTTCTATAATGTCTCAAATGCTAGTGTTGACTAACATTTTACACAAAACTAGTCCCCCTTCCTTTAGCCTTCAGTAGCAATTGTGTAACTAAGTCACCATGCCACCCTTCCTGCCCCCAGCCAAAGCCATATTGTAGGTTTTTGTTACAATTGAAACAAAAAACAATCTCCATGCCTAGAATGCATTAAAGAAAAAATTCAAAACCTTTAGTACTTAGTTAAAAAAAAAAAAAAAGCTTAGCAGCTGTAATATAGTATTTTTGTGCTTGTTTCTTTCTTATTTTTAGGCTGACGATATCCGAGCTTTGCTGATAGATGCCATGCCCCCTGAGGCCTTACCTACCTGCTTTAAACCTCAGGCAACTGTCGTGAGTGCTTCTCTGATCTCACCAGCATCCACCCCCTCCTGCCTCTCTGCTGCCAGCAGCATAGATAACCTTACTGGCCCTTTAGCAGAGTTGGCAGTAGGAGGGGCCTCCAATGCAGGGGATGGTGCAGCGGGTACAGAAAGGAAGGAAGGAGAAGGTGAGTGTACCCTGTGAATGCTTATTTGTTTATACCTTCTTTTAATGGAACAGATTCACTTTTCTATTGGTAATTATTAAATACTCACCTACAGATATCCTGTCTCTAAATTTCCTATGCACAAAATCTTATAAGAAACACTTCTTGGGAGACTAAGGCAGGAAGATCAGAAGTTTGTGGTCAGCCTGGACTATATAGGGAAAGCCTGTCTCAAAACAAGAAAGAAAAAGGAAAAAAAAAGACTGCTTTACAGCAGAAGGCTGCCAAGTTCCTTGTTATGTGCATTGCTCTTGTTTATATGTTTACTCTATTCTACTACCTCCATTTCTGACCATGGTATTTTATTGAACTACTGAGTGAGTCTTACTTCTGAAATTCTACCAGAAAACTGAGAGGTCATGTAAAGAAAGAAAACTAAAACAATAGCTGTTACATCTAGATGTTTAATTCATTAAAGACATTAAACTATCCTCTATAAAATAGTTTTTATTATATTAGAATTAATATTATGTTGATTATAAAGTATGTATTCTGTGTTATAAAAGATAATTCTGTATTCTAGTTCTGTATTCTAACTATATCATTAAAATTAATAATATTACTGATGTGTAAAGATGAAGCACATTGCTTTTGCTTCTCAACCAAATTCAAAGTTGAAGTTCCTGAATTAAATTTTTGTATTATGGATTATTTTATGTCACACAAAATCACTTACAAGGTCAGGGGTGTCAAGAGACATGGCTTTAAACAGATACTGAAACTTCCTTTAGATTCATAAAATTCTTTCTGAGAAATTTTAATGTTTCTATTTTAGTTGCAGGTCTTGACATGAATATCAGCCAATTCCTAAAAAGCCTTGGCCTTGAACACCTTCGGGATATCTTTGAAACAGAACAGGTAAACTCTTTTGTATATATTTGAATCTTCTTAATTAAATATTGAGTCATTAATCTCCATCCGTTGTTTCTTTTTGCATCTTAGCAGCTATTTTAAAACCTATAACACATTTCTGTAGAAGCCAGGAAGCACAGTATTTTATACTTCTTCCCAAAATTGTGTAACAGTTGATAGTCTTTGATTAGATTTTGTTTTATATTTATAAGCAGTCTTACTCTGTATTGTTACACCTGTCAAAACTTGGACCATGAGGGTTGAGGGGTGTAGCTCAGTAGTAGAGCACTTGCCAAATTGAGAACATGAAACTACCTCAAAAGAATGTTTTCAGAATTGTCTTTGGTTTTGTTTGTTTCCCGAAGGCATTGGTATTTATTCATTTCATTACTGTCGAGTTTATTAATTGGGATCCTCCTGTTTGCTGTATTGTTTTCATAAAGGATAATGTGTTCTTAATATTGCAGGCTTTTACATGGTCTGCATTGAATACTGAATAAGAAGTACTGAGTCTAAAATAGGTGTTGCTGAAGTACCTAGAATCTTAGAATGGGAAGGTGTTTAAAGATCATTGTGTCATTCTCCCAGGTGGAGAACCACTTCTTTACCATCTTGTCAGTCCTCAAGGCAGGAAAAGATAACTTGCTACAACTTGGGGCAAGTGTAAAGAACGAGTGTAACAGAAGCCAAAATCTGCCCTCATGCTTAGTCCGTTTGTTTCAGGTTTACTTCATTTTGCACAAAAGTCTAACCTCCAATCTACATACATGTTGAGTTTCATAGGTCTGCAAAGTACCACCAACTTGGTCACCTAACAGAAATTTATTCCCTCAGAAGACTGAAATCAAAGGTTGTCAGAGCTACACACCCTACAGAGGCTGTGGGGGAGAAAGTATTCTATGCCCTCTTTAGCTTCCTTAACTTCTGGCCACATTACTTCAATCTCTGCTCTTTGTCTTCACACTGCCTTCTTCTCTGTGTCCATCTTTCTGCCGCTGTCTGTCCCTCTGTCCCTTAAAGACCCTTGCATTAAGTTTTAGGGCCTAAAACTCCTGGATGATCTCCTCATCCCAAGATCTTTAACTTAATTAATCTGGAAACACCCTTTTTCTAAATACCATAAGACTCACAGGCTCTGTGGATTAGAACATAGACGTATTGTTTTGAGGGCCACCATGCAGCCCACTATAAGATACCTGTTTATGTTTTCATATCTTTTTAAGACCTACTATGGACTTTGCCCTAACAACTATCCATCTCTACAAATCTCTCCCTATTTTGGGATAAATAAACCTACTTTTAGATTTTTGTGTGACCTAGTTGCCAAATTCTTCACTGGCTTTTGCCCCATTCTGGTTTATTGTCTCCCTGTTTCTAGCTGTGTAAAACTGAGTTAAAAGACATTTAGCCCTCACTTTCTTTACATGTAAAATACAATACCTATAAATATCCAGATAGTTAAAAATCCCAGTCATGTTGTGCTTTTTTACCAGTTTTAAAAACATGTCCTATTGAAGCATCACCTGGGTTTCTATTTGCTGGTGAAGACTTTATAGAATGTATAAGAATTTCCTTTTCCTGCCATTTATTCATCTTCTGGATTAGAGATTTTTTCATGAGAATATTGTAAAAGAGTTATTTTCCTTCCTTTCCTCCCCAAAAGTTTTTAAGCTACTTGAAGCGTTTCCTCTGCTGGAACCACACTAACAGTCCTATACCTTCATCCCAAATATGTCTGCAATCATTATGAAATGTCACACATATCCTCACTTAATAAACCAAGAGACCTAATTCCAGCATAGAGCTTTAGTTTCTACTCTTTCAGTAAGTTTTCATGATAATTTATGGCTTGTTTTTTACTTTACATTGTATATTCTGTCAGCAACTGATTTCCTGTGGCATGGTTACCTCATTTTATTGATTTTAGTACTTTAATAGTTCAGTCTTCAGTGGGTTCTTCTGACAGCTTATTCTGTTTTTGTCAGTTTCTTTGTTCTCTTTTTCATCGCAGTGTTGTTCTGAATAAATCAATGTTCCATTGATTTTCTTTTGACGAAAATGATATCTATATCCTTTTCCTATCAATATGTTGTACTAAGGTATACTTCCTAATGTGGTTCCTTTCCTCCTGACCAATGGTATTGCCTTTCTTTACTGAGCTATGTTTAACTAGCTTCTGGCCCAATTGTCAAGAAGTCAAGTTTATTTTTATTTCAGTTGCAGATGTTATTTGTCTAAAATTCATCTGTGAAGTAATAAACTCAGTTAGCTCTTCCCATAACTTGCCCTTAACATTCTATATGTAGTAGGTCAGTAACAAGTGATAACAGACATGATATTTGTGTAGTGGAGGAGCAGTGAGAGTGCAGGCATTGTACCGTTTACTCTGCTTAGCTGAAACCAGGAACCATTCTGTTTCTTGAGACACTTTGACTTACAATATCTTATTGCCTCCCGTCCCTCTCATGGGGTTCTCTCCCAGTAGGGTGGGGCATAGAACGTTTTTTTTTTTCTGGCCCCAGGAAATCCTCCTTCAGAGTAACTTAGTTTCAGCTCTGTCTTCTCACAGTTATTCTTTCATAAGTTGCTGAACTAAATTGTCTTGTTTCATATAGCTATTTTACCAAGTTCTATATTAAATAATGTTTATTCAGTTCCCTTATAACTAATTAAATATAATACCAGTCTGACTCTGGCCCCTACTTTATAATGTCACTTCCTACCTAGAACACTTTTTCTATGGGAAGAACTGATTTGATTCACATTATAATTCCTGGAACATAATATGCTGTGACACAGTTGACTGTGAGTGTTTTTAGTTGACTTAAATATTTTCACAGAAAGCAACTATAAAAATTTGTTATTCTGTGTGTGTGTGTGTGTGTTACTGGGGTTTAAACTCAGGACCTTGCACTTGCTAAGCAAGCTCTACAGCAGCCATTTTTTTGTATTGGTTATTTTTTAAATAGGGTCTCACTTTATGCCTAGGCCAGCCTGGATGGTGATCCTTTTGTGCTTCCCTGCTAGCTGGGGTGACATTTGCATGTCACCAAACCCAGCCATTGATTGAAATGGGGACTTTTTTCCTGAGCTAGCCTCAAACAATGATCATCCCGATCTCTACATCCCAAGTAGCTAGGATTACAGGCTTTAGCCACCATGCCTGGCCAAAATTTTTATTCTTAAATTAAAACTTGGACTCAAGTAAATTTTTATAAACATGATTGTTACTTCTGTTCTAGCCTGCAGCCTTTTCAAGCCCAAGTAAAAGAAAGGTCTTTTCAATTAAAATTTTTCTCTCCCCATGCCAGGTAAAATGAACAAATCATACAAGCAAGAGGCAGCCATAGTAGAAGTAACATTTGCTCTATATGCAGGATAATTTTAGCCCATAAATGGATAATCCTTATTCTAAAGATTGGAATTTTATTTTAATGTGTGCTAGGCATAAATAAGTCACCAAAAAAACTTGTGGTTTCCTGAATATAACTAAGTCAAGATTTTTTTTAAAAGGGGGTGGGGGGTGGTGGTAAGGGCTGAGGTTACAGCTCAAGTGGTAGAGCGCCTCCTTAGCAAGTACAAGACTGAGTTCAAACCCCAATACTGCAAAAAAAAAGTTAATTAAAAGATCATTTTTCAGAAAGATGTTTCTAGCATCTTATAGAGCTATGAATGAGTAAACATAAATCTAAATTCCATAGTTTGTTTTCCAGTGGCCTGCTTAAATATTCCAACAAATTGGTTACCATGTAACTCAAAGCAACTAAAATTACTTTTTGTTATTTTAGTATTCTAATCATCCCTTTTAAAAAATATGAACAGAGGACAGAAAGATATGGCTATGTATCTAGTTCTTCTGACATTTGTTGAACAGATATTATATGTCAACACCCTGTACTTCCCCCCTCACCTTCCACAGTTCTGGGTATCAAACCTGTCAAAATGCTAGGTGAGCCCTCTACACCCAACTACACTCTACTCTCTTTATGATTTCTCTGAGCCTCAATTTCCTTATAAGGACTTCAGTAGAACTTTCATGGGTATTGTGAGGGTTAAATGAGGTAATAAGGTAAATAGAAAGTGCTTTGAACTATGCCTGATACATAGTAAGTACTTAATAAATATTGGATGCACAGATGATGAATGTGTGGGTGGAATTACAGTAATATAATATATGTGTTTATGTTTATCGAATTGATAAATAGCACGACAGCATAGACATGTTATTATTGCTGTGTAACAAAAACTGCTCCAAAACTTAGTGGCTTGACATAACAGGAATTTCTTATCTCACAGTTTCCCTGGGGCAAGAATGCAAGTATGGTTTAGTTGGATTCCTCTAGCTCAAGGTCTCATGGAGTTACAGTCAAGCTGGCAGCCAAGTCTGCAGTCTCAGCTAGAGACTCAGCTGGCAAGGGTAAAGACCCACTTCACTCACATTGTTGAATGGCCTGGAGCCCTCACCCATGAGCCTCTCTACCTGGTGACCTTATGACATGTGTATTACTTATCTGCTGCTGCTTGACAAATTACCACAAACACAGCAGTTTAAAACACACATTTTGTGGAGCGAGAGAGTCTGTGTGCTACTCAGTTATGTCTTTTCCTTCAAGGTCTCTCACCAGACTTCAGTCACGGTACTAACCAGGGTTGTATCTCATTCTAAAGACTCAAGTATTCAGTTCCTTACCACGCATTGGAGTGAAGGCCTAAGTTAGCCCCTCTAATGTAGCATCAAAGCCAGCACAGGAGAGAGAGGGTCTGCTAGTCAACATCCTTTCACCATGGCTATATTTTCTTGGTTAGAAGCAAGTCAGTAGGCAAGCCACACTCCAGCAGAGGGGATTGCACAAGAATGTGAATATTAGAAGGTGGGAATCATGGATTCTCTCTGCTACAACATGGCACTAGCTTCCCTCGGGTCACCAGTCCATAGAGTGAGCAGCCAAGGCAGAAGCCACAATCTTTTTATTACCTAGAGTAAAAAGTAATATCCTGTGACTTCTGCTGTATTATATTTGTGAAGAATGAATCAGGAAGTGTGGTTCACACTCAGTGGGAGGGGATTTCAATCAGGACACAAACTAGGGAATAAGGATCCTCTGGGAGCCGTTTTAGAGTAAGAGACCCACTTTTCAACCCTACTTTCCAAACTAAATGGCTTGGTATTAGTTTATCAGGGTCTTTTGTTGGTGGTTTGGTCTGGATTTGGAGTATTCATTTTGTGATTGAGAGTCTATAATAAAAAACAAGTGTATTAAATATACTTCCCCATTCTTCCCTATAACATTGTCAAGAATACTGACTTTTTTTTCTGGCCCAGTTTCTTCTCCTTCTTTTAGATGTATACTATATATGTATCAATTCAGAAAAGTGTGAGGAGTCTAGGAGTTGCAGTTGCCACATACATATGAGATCCTGTTTTTATGTCAACCTTACTTAGACAGAAGTTTAGAATATTTAGAAGAAAAAGACAGGATATCAATAATACAGTTCACAAATTATATTAAAGTCCCATCTAGCTAAAATGCAAAGGCTCCTGTTTTGTGAAATACTCTTATTTCATGAACTCTGTTCAAGGATGTGTGTTTGAGAATTGATGCTTTTTAAAAGCTCTACTGAAAACTTCCTTTGAGTGATTAGAAGTGAATTGCCCATTTTGTGCAATGGAGCAATTATTTCTTAAATGGCCACTTAGCAGCAGTGTAGTAAATTACTTCACACAATGAGCACTGTATGCTCATTGCACTGAGATGATGAGACTTGTTATATAATATTTCACTCTGACAATAAAAGCCAGCAGAGCCCCAGGCCTAATTTTTCAGTTTTTTAAGTGTCTTACACCGGTACAATGGTAGAACACACTGTTGATATGTTTTAAAATCTCATGTCTCTGTAAAAGGGCGTCTCCATTTTCCAAAGGGGGATGGGGAATCAAAGGCTAATCTTGTAGACTAGTATTTGGATTGTCACAGGGCCCTCTTCTGGACTTGAAATGACAAGTTCAGTCCTCCTGATAGGTTCCTGCCCAAGATCTCATCCTGTACATTCAGAGCACTGCCACTGGGTGGTAGTAGAGTCACAGTTTCTTTAGCCCACAAAGGTATTAGGTAATTGAGCCAACTAATCATCTCCGTCTACAGGGATGAATAACCAAAATTTAAAAACCACTAGTTTGTACAAAAAAGAGTATACATTAGGCAGCAGGGATTGTTAAATCTGAGCATTTATGAGAACTTAAAAATCATCTCCCTTCTCTTTTCTTGTCCAAGCTAGCATTTCTTATGTTGTCTCTCTATAAAGTAGTCTGTAGTCTAACTCAGTACTTCAGATCTGAGCGTTAACACTTTCTAAGGCAGCGTATTCCTGGTCAAGTAATTCTTAGTACTTGAGTTTCTTTCTCTTCGTCTAAAATCTGCTTGCCTAAAACCGCTTATTTTTGCCACATTCTGTTTAATTATATTAAACACTTCTCCCTTTCCCTCCCATTCATTTCCACTACCTTCCGAATACTGGGATCTGGAATTTCCCTGTTGTCAAGTTGCAGAAGATGGTAGAATTCAGTAATCTAAAGGAGATCCAGCAATGATCATTTTGTGTTTCTACAGTACTGTTTCTCTTTTTAATTCTAAAACAAAATGACTAAAGCAAATTAAGGAGTATTTCAATTAAGCTAAAAAGCAGACAATATTATTTAGGCAACTTTAAGAAAATTGTATGGTCATGCTTATGAAGGAAGCAAAACATTTTTTTAAAAATTTGTCTGCTAACTATAGACAAATTAAAGTGCTCTTGTCTCCTGAAGGACTGCTAATGATTTAGCAAGTAATTTTTTTCATTTTTCAGATTACACTAGATGTGTTGGCTGATATGGGTCATGAAGAGTTGAAAGAGATAGGCATCAATGCATATGGACACCGCCACAAATTAATCAAAGGAGTAGAAAGACTTTTAGGCGGACAACAAGGTAAGCTATTCAGAACAAGATTGCGGAAATTGGTGGTGCAAGGAGAAGTGTCAGGCAGTCTGACCCAAAGCCCGTGTGATTAACTCTTACAGTACTCCTACCTTTCCCTTCTCAGTTATTGGCATCACACTTTCTCTAGTTGGAAAAATGCTCCTTCTCCCTCCACCCTCTTGCTTTGTTCTTGGTGGTACAAAGGGTTTAAACTCAGGGCCTCATGTTCACTAGGCAAGTGCCGTAACACTTGAGTGATGCCTCCAGCCCTTTTTTGCTTTAGTTATTTTACAGATATGGTCTGGAGTTTTTTGCCCAGGTAGGCCTCAGACTCCTGCCTACACCTCCCATGTAGCTGGGATTTCAGGTATGTTACTACACCCAGCCTGTTCATTGGGATGGGGTCTCACTAGCTTTTTGCCTGGGCTGCCCTTGAACCTGGATCCTTCTAATTTCCACCTTCTGAGTATCTGGGATTATAGTTGTGAGCCATAAAGCTCTGGAATTTCTCTAACTTCTGTCTTTTCCTACTGCTTTCACCTAACCCAAGCCACCTTCACCTCTCTCCTGTACCATCACATTCACTTTCCAGCTTCTCCATTCTAGAAATTTTTCTAGAATTTCTCTGGAATTTCTCTAACTTCTGTCTTTTCCTACTGCTTTCACCTAACCCAAGCCACCTTTACCTCTCTCCTGTACCATCACATTCACTTTCCAGCTTATCTCCATTCTTGCCTTCCTCTAGTGCCTTCTCCACTCTGTAATCAGAGCTCTCCAGATCACTATGTGATATATAGCACGCCACTGCTTCAGACCCTTCAATAGAGTCCTGCTGCTCTGGAAATAGAAATCAGACACTTACAACCTGCTTTTTATGCTCTCACCTTTCGTACCTCCTATGGAACTTCTCCCTCAAGACCACCAGCCCAGTTTTCCCCGTCATCCTTTGCTGTTAAAGGCCTGTTATCTTTCCCTTCATGCTTACATTTCTCTATTTATTAGAAGTACTTCACTGTAGGGAAACAAGGGAAGATAGAACAGCTTGAATTGATTAATCTACAGAGCTAATAAAATTGCAAGAATGATGTGAAACTAAAAGTTAGGGGGTTTTGAATTTGATTCCTGCTTGTTTTCCATTCATGAAATTAAGGATAATTTATGTAAGTGACCATTTCAACTCATTAGAGGATAATGCTTACATTTTAAACATGACTACAGTATAATTTCAGGATGCATTTCTCTTTTGTGTCAGATGTCTTTACGATATATTCATGGTTGAATTTATTTAGTTCAACAAATATTGTGGAGCCCTGCTGTGTACAAGGTGCTCTGTAAGAATAAAATAAATTTCCAAATACATGGTAATTTCCTCTTTTGTCTTTGGTGTATTTATTTAATATAACCTTGTATTTGAGGTTGAAATAGAAATAGTTTAGGCTTGTTCTAAAATGTCAATTATTTATGACTAAGTTTTCCCTAAAATAGAGCCTGGGTAGTATGAACTTTTTGTTGTTGTTGTTGTTGTACTGGGGGTACATTGTGACATTTACAAAAGTTCTTTAAATATATTATAGTTAAATTCACCCTCTCCATCATTCTCCTTTATCCCAGCTCCCCTCATTCCTGGTACTTCCAAGAGGTATTTTTCCATTTATATACATGAGTACATAATATTTCCACTATATTCACCCTCTTATACCCTTTCTTTATATCCTCCCCACTGTAACAACCCTCAGACGGGACATGTTCTATCCTCCTGTTCTCCGTTTTTGTTTTTTAAAAAAATAGCATTTTGTTAAGATAGCTACACAGTGAATTTCCTTGTGACATTTCCATATATATGTATATAACCCGAATTGATTCATCTCCTCTATTTTTCTCCTGTCTACTTTAGTCCCCTTCTTATGATAATTTCAACAGGTTTAAAAATTCTATACTTATTATTGTATAGGAAGTACATCAACCATATTCACCTTAACTTCCTTCTTTTACCCTCCCTCTCTCGTATGTGACCTCACCTTCGTGTGACCTCTTTTTCATAATATTGCTTGTATTTGTATTGGGTATATATTCCACATATGAGAGAATGGACTTTTGTTTTATATGTTTATTTTTTCTCTCTTACAGGAACTAATCCTTATTTGACTTTTCACTGTGTAAATCAGGGAACTATATTGCTAGATCTTGCTCCAGAAGATAAAGAATATCAGTCAGTAGAAGAAGAGGTAATGGACTTCAAAATGTTTTGATTTTCTTTTCCTAAATCCTGTTAAACCTGTTTTTCCAGTGGACATAAGCTGTTCTTACTCTGTTTTATGGTCACTTCCTGTTATTTAGTCTCCCTTGCTATCACGGTAGACTATTGCCAAAATTAAAATGTGGTTAGAATTGTACCTCGTGGCTTTCAAATCATCAGTCTAGGTTGTACAATGTGTGAGGGAAATCTGTCCTTTTATTCTGGAGACATCCTTGAAACTCATACAAGAGCTATTTTCTTATATCAGAATGTTACCTAAGAAAGAGATGGAGTGAGAATCTTGCTTTGTAGTTAGCAAATACCTTCTAACCTATATTTTCTATGGGATTCCATAGTAATGTCTAACTTCCACATATGCTTCTGAAGTCTGTCACATAATAAGTGCTTCATAATATTTTGTTTCTCCAGTCACAGTTATTTTAAGCATCATAGAAAGGCTATTTGTATGGACCTCCTGACACATAGGTGGCATAGAAATTCCTTCTCTACAGATGGCTTTTACCTTTCTTCTAAGAACCCCCAATAAACCAAGGGCCTAATTTTATTATTGTAAGCAAGCTGCTTACTTCCGTAATTATTCAAATACCTAAGCAGAAAGAGGTATACCTACATTTGAGTTTGTTTGTGTTTGTTTAATCAGTGCTCACATTATTTCCGTTGCCATGCTAGGAAGCCACATTAGGAAACTCAGACCATTTTCCCAGGGCAGTGTTTCGGCTCATACACAGTCAGCCTATCAGGACAGCATCATATTTTCTAGTGCCTTTTTGCCTAATTCTCCTAAGAGTAAATTGTGATAATGAAGAAAAAAAAAATGTGATGTTCAGGAGTAATCCAAATGGAGCACTGAATAGAGATTTCATTTTATGGGTCAATTCTATCAGAAACTTAGGGTATGTATGTGTTGCTGGGGTTGAACTATTTGCTAAGCAAACGGTCTGCCACTGAACTATACCGACAGCCCAAGATACTTAAGTCTTTAAAACATTTTTCTTTTCCATAATAATTATTTTTAATTTGGAGAGTGGGAGAAGAATGAGCAGTGTTCAGAGCAAAGTTACTGCATTTATTTGTGCATTATATTCAACTTCTGGTCTGAGTAGATATCCTCTGAGATTACAACATAAGGACTATTGAGATAAAAATGGAATATTTTACCTATAGAAAAAAACTATTGCTTTTTAAAAAAATTTTAGCATTTGTAATAGTAATTATAGATGACTTAATGATACTTTTCTGTTTCCACATTGTGTTTACAAAACAATCTTTCAAAGCATTGTATTAGAAAATTCATACATTAATATTTATACATTAATATTTCTCACCAGAAATACTTACCTACTAAATTTGGTGACCAGTTTGTGGTAAACTTCTCTTTGTTAGTTCTATCTCATCAATGAAACCATATAGGAGAATTGAAATACTGAAAACAAGAAATGTCTTTAGAATTATATGCTGGTATACTTTCATAAAGTTAATTATTGTATTTTGTTGTACAGATGCAGAGTACTATTCGAGAACACAGAGATGGTGGAAATGCTGGTGGCATCTTTAACAGATACAATGTCATTCGAGTAAGTTTAAAAATTTTCAGGATGAAAATTGGATTGTAAGGCTTGACCAAAAGTCACATCTAGACAGTGAAAATAAAGTTTTTAAATCACATTTTCAGACTATCAAAGATAATTTTTCCAGTTGTCCTAAAGTCAAATGTGATTCTTCTCGCTACAGTGCCATACTTCACTAGAAATCGAAATACCCTGAAACACCAAAGCTCCAAACAGAAGCCCAAATCATAAATCAGCCAGTCTTGGTAGTCATGTATGGATATGGCTGCCAGCTCCTCGCTGATAGTAATTTTCATTTGAAAGTACCATTATAAAGGCCTGGATTGTCAGTCTCCTGTCAGTGATGATGCCAGAATCTATGTATCTTAGTTGGCAGGATAGAGTACATGACTGTTACATGTTTTTTTTTTTTTTTCAGGTTAGCGTCAAGAAGATAAAGTCTATTGAGAACCTGTTTAACCCTTTGAGTTAATGGGCATGTGGAAATTTTACTGGTACACATCAGAATTATCCAGGGAGCTTTTTTTCTTTAATTCAGAATAAAAAAACTGTAACTAAAAATCATATTATTAAAAGCTAGCTAGCATAGTAACTGAATTCCTTTGACATGGCAACTTTCTCACTTCTAAATAATTTCTGAAGCAAACAGCACAAAACTGACCCAACTTAAGGAAAGCATACTTTTCCTTTTAAGTCAGAAACTTAGTGATTTTACTGCTAATTAACTTCTTTCTTCTTCATCCTTTGTAAAGATTCAAAAAGTTGTCAACAAGAAGTTGAGGGAGCGATTTTGTCACAGACAAAAGGAAGTATCTGAAGAGAATCACAACCATCACAATGAGCGCATGTTATTTCACGGTAAATATCTTGCAGTTACTGTAGATGTCTCTCTAAGCCTTTGCAAAATTAATAAAGTAAAAATAACTATGCAGTGGACTAGAACAGGGTTGTGTTCAAATGACTTCTTATTGATAACTGGCTTTCTAGTGCATTACATGTCAGCACAGTCTTATCTAAATTTGTTTCACAACTTTAATTGCAAGTAAGTCCACCTAGTAGAGTATTTTTGTTGTGATTTAATATAATTGTTTTAGTTTATTGCATGCAAGATTATAGTCTGTTTTTAAAGTCTCATTGAATTTTACTATCTAAAGTCTCTTGCCATCTGCAAAATCTTTGAACCACTCTTGCTTGACAAACACCATATGAGTCACTGATAAGATTCTAGTACCTTCCAAAAATTTATGTAGACTAGTCCATCTTAGAAAATAAACATTTTCTTTTATGCAGTATTAACTACTTAATCTGTTCAGTGAAAATATTATGCAGCTAATTGAAATTTTAGAAAAGTATTCAAAAACTAATCTTTCTATGTTTGTACTTTTAGGTTCTCCTTTCATTAATGCCATTATTCATAAAGGGTTTGATGAGCGACATGCCTACATTGGTGGAATGTTTGGAGCTGGAATTTATTTTGCTGAAAACTCCTCAAAAAGCAACCAATATGTTTATGGGATTGGAGGAGGAACAGGCTGTCCCACACACAAAGACAGGTCATGTTATATATGTCACAGGTGAGCATCCTGCCTTCAGTGTAATGACTTCCACCCTCCACCAGAAACATTTGTCTCTCAGGCTCTACAGAGGTCACAGGTTCTCATCAGTCTTGCTTTCTAATAAATCAGTTGGGCTTAGAGGTTGGGTAGAAATGGCAGAGCTGGTACTAGTAGTAAAAAACAGATACATGGCCACCAGCCCTCAGTTGTGATGAAGTTTTCTGCATCTTAGCTTTCTTTCTCCCTGGTCTTCATTTGCCTGGCTTCAGAATTAGAACAAGAAAAGGCTGAGAATGATACCTGGAGAAAAAGGAACCTATGGCTCTCACCACATTTGAGCTAAGACATACAACTTCTGTAAACAAGTAGACTCTTTAATTTGCTTCTTTAATGTTGCTAATAGTGTTGTTTCTTTTAAGGCAGAGTATATAACTAGCCTTGAAAATTCCAACTTCAGACTGTCAACTTTGGAAATAATAACAAATGAGTATTGGCTTTTTAAGTAGGATTTTAAAATTTAGAAGTTGGAAAGAATACCACCACCTAATAAGTCAGCAGGGGAGAGGAAAAAACCTCTTTCCTTCCTGCCAATGGAAAAAATGCAAAAGAAATATAGTTTATAAAGATTAGAATTGTGCTTGGGGCTCACTCTTAGTTGCTTGGGAGGCTGAGATATTGAAGCTTGAGGCCAGACTGGGCAAAAAGTTCACAAGACCCCATCTTCAAAATAACCAGAGCAAAATAGACTGGAGGTGTGGCTCTAGCTCAAACAGTAGAGCACCTGCTTTGCAAGCATGAAGCCCTGAGTTCAAACCCCAGTCCCACCCAAAAAAAAAAAAAAACAAGATTAGAATTTAAACTACTCAGATGCAATTTCAATAAAATCAAGTTAATAAGATATCTTGTGATTCATTAAGACTTTTAAAAATCCCATATAACTTTGGCCTTAAAATGTTTTCCTCGCTAGGCACCTGTTGCTCGTGCCTATAATCCTAGCTACTCAGGAGCAGAGATCAGGAGGATCACAGTTCAAGGCTAGTCCAGGCAAAAAGCAAGACCTTATCTCAAAAATACCCAACATATATCATTCACTGGTAAATGGTTGGAATTGGAGAACATCATTCTGAGTGAGGTTAGCCTGGCCCAAAAGACCAAAAATCGTATGTTCTCCCTCATATGTGGACATTAGATCAAGGGTAAACACAACAAGGGGATTGGACTATGAGCACATGATAAAAGCGAGAGCACACAAGGGAGGGGTGAGGATAGGTAAGACACCTAAAAAATTAGCTAGCATTTGTTGCCCTTAACGCAGAGAAACTAAAGCAGATACCTTAAAAGCAACTGAGGCCAATAGGAAAAGGGGACCAGGAACTAGAGAAAAGGTTAGATCAAAAAGAATTAACCTAGAAGGTAACACCCACACACAGGAAATCAATGTGAGTCAATGCCCTGTATAGCTATCCTTATCTCAACCAGCAAAACCCCTTGTTCCTTCCTATTATTGCTTATACTCTCTCTACAACAAAATTAGAGATAAGGGCAAAATAGTTTCTGCTGGGTATTGAGGGGGGAAGCGGGAGGGGGTGGAGTGGGTGGTAAGGGAGGGGGTGGAGGCAGGGGGGAGAAATGACCCAAGCCTTGTATGCACATATGAATAATAAAACAATAAAAAAAAAAATACCCAACATGGTACCATCAATATAACAATAATATAATAATAATAATAATAAAAGAAAAACATACCCAACACACAAAAAAAGGGCTAATGGAGTGGCTCAAATGGTAGAACACCTTCCTAGCAAGTGTGAGGTCTTGAGTTCAAACCCCAGTACTGCCAAAAAAGAGAAAAAAAAACTATTCCTCTCAGTGATATTATGAAAAAGTCGTCATCAGCAGTTTTAATGGTGATGGATGCTATATACATTCAGAAAGAAGCTTCTTTCTTTTAAGACTTCCGTGGTTAAGAACACACAAATCTCTAAGGATCTATACCATGCAGAAGTTAGGTTGTTTCGAATATGTTTAACTCTGATGGAGACAAAGTAAACATAAATAGGCAATAAAAGTGAACCTAGTGAAGATTAGTGGTCACTCATTAAAATTAGACTCTAGTTTACATCTTAGGCTAAATTTCCTAGAAAGTAGAGCCTGAAGCAAAAGCATGCTCCTAGTACTTCTTTGGCAAGAGCAATCCCAGGGAAGCAGGAATAAGGGCACAAAAAGAAGTGAGATGGAAGACTGGATGCGGTTGTTCAAGCCTATATCCTAGCTATTTGGGAAGTGGAGATAAGTGTTTCAAGACCAGCCTGGGCAAAAAATTCACAAGACCCTGTCTCAGCTAGGCATGTGCCTGTCATCCCAGATACCTGGGAGGCATAAATCGTATGGCAGTCTCGGCTGGTCCAGACATAAAGTGAGACCCTCTCTCAAAAATAACTAAAGCAAAATGGTCTGCAGGCATGATTCAAGTGTTAAGAGTGCCTGCCTAGCAAGCATAAAGCCCTGAGTTCAACCCCAAATACCACCAAAAATGAATAAAAAGAGGAAGAGAGGTAAAAAAGAATATACCACAAATATACTGATGTGTATCAGCCCATTTTTGATGGGACTGGAGTTTGAACTCAGAGGGTCAAAGCAGGCACTGTACCACTTGAGCAAAACCTCCACTCCATCTTACTCTGCTTATTTTGGAGATGGGGGTATCTCAAACTGTTTGCCCAGGCTGGCCTGGAACCTATATCCATCCTGATCTCTGCCTCCCAAGTAGCTAAGATTACAGGCGTGAGCCACCATTACAAAATTCTTTTTTTTTTGGTGGGACTAGAGTTTGAACTCAGGGCTTCCTGCTTGTAAAGTAGGCGCTCTCCTCTTGAACCACACCTCCCCCACAAGACTTCTTTATAGAAGCTTTACGAATGACTACAACTCAGAAAAAGTAGCATATTGGTGGGAGAAAGGGTTGTGTTTATCTGCTGACTCCTGGCTGGCGCATACATACATACTGCAGGGCACTGGAACCCCTACTTTTTTGGCTGTTACCTCTGCATAATGCACCACAATGCACAAGACAAGCCAGTGAGCAGATATGAGCCAGTTCTCTCCACCTGCCTATCTGCAGCCTACAGTCTCATTACTGGCTAGGCTCATCCTGCATCTTAGCTCATCAGCCAACAGGGAAGCCTTGGAGCAGGGCCTACACGGTGCAGTATTATGTCATGTAACAGACTGAGACTATGAATTTAATAACTATCCCACTACCACAACGAGAGATGGAGTGCAAAAAAGCCTCTCCCCAATGTAAAACAAGATCCTTTGTTTCCTCCAGGACTTACAAAAAAATACCGTTGATTCTAAGTCAACATCCTAGATGATCATCGATGGCATCCAACTAAAAAAGCCATCCAGTCAGGACCCCATTATCCTAAATTGGCATAATTTTTATTTGACTCAAAATAATCTCTGTCTGGTCATAACACAAATATCATACCTTGTTACTAAAAACAAACTATTTGAATAACTATTTACTTAACGGTGTGGACAATTGTACTGATAAGTTACAATGTCTATCTTTTAGATTAGGGCTTGGCTTTTTCTTTAAAGGGCTAGGTAAAAATTATTTTAAGCTTTGCATGCCATGTGATTCCTGTTGCAGTGACTCAGTTCTGCACTTATAGTGCAATAGACTATGTAAATGAATGCAAGGCTTTGTTCCAGTAAAGTGGTATTTACAAAAGCAGGTGGAGGCTGGATTCGACCCATGGCTATAGTTTATATGCTTTCTTCCTAATCTAGCTTTCTTATGCTCTGTAACATTTAACACCTGCACCAATTCATCTTTCATCTAGGTGATATGGTTTCCAGTCATATATTTCAGCTAAGCATTTTTGTTCCTGATTCACTTTTGTTAGTACTGTTTATCTTGTTGCAGTTTCTTCTTTTTCCCCCATAGTGAATAAACTCAATCTTAACTTCAGATGCTGTTCCCATCTACTTGTTTTCTTTATTTTTCACCTACCCATGCAAAAACTCCATTTTCTGTAGTCTTTCTCTTTTTCCACTAGGCACAACTTAAGGCCAGGTATTTTCTATGATTGATTCCTAAGCACACCAAAACTGTAACTATTGAGCTGGTAATTGTTTTCAGTAAATCAATATATCAAATCCTATCCCATTCCTACACATAAATCTTAAAATAACATTTAAATTAGCTTGCCTCATGTTCAGATTTTCTTTAAAAAAAAAACTGATAAGCCTAATAGTTACATAATTTTAAGATTTAAAGCTTCTTTCAAAGCATTGCTTTCCTTTTTCTTTAGACAAATGCTTTTCTGTAGAGTGACCCTTGGAAAATCCTTTCTGCAATTCAGCACCATGAAAATGGCCCATGCCCCTCCAGGACATCACTCAGTCATTGGTAGACCAAGTGTCAATGGGCTGGCGTATGCCGAATATGTTATCTACAGAGGAGAACAGGTATGTTGCTTATCAAATAAGCATAACTAAGTTACTAAACATGTTCATACATAATATGGTGACAACATAAGATTTAAGGAAACCTTTTATTGAAATATCCACCACATAGTCACTTCAGGCACATAATAAACATACCAAATGATTCTTTAACATCACCTTTGCACACAGAACCCATCAGTTACTGTCATCCAAGTAACAATGTGAGCTGGGCACTGATGGCTTACACCTATAATCCTATCTCCTTGGGAAGCTAAGATCAAGAGGATTGCAGTTTGAGCCTGGGCAAATAGTCAGACCCCATCTTCAAATTAACCAGAGAAAAATGGACTGGAGACATGGCTCAAGTGGCAGAGCGCCTGCTTTGCAAGCATGAACCCCAGTCCCAACAAAATAAAATAAAATAAAAAGAAGTAAGTATGTAAGTACAGTTAGAGAACTATAGGCCTAGAAGCTCAGGCTGTTCTTGAAGCCTGCTACTCTGAATTCATGGCTTGTATGGCTTCATGCTCCAGCATGGCCATGAGGAGCTAGGAGCAACTCTCATGTAAGAGATCTTGAACTGCTTGAAGTTCCAAAACAAAATTAGAATAAATGCATACTTATAAAAAAAAACTTTTATAGTTTTCAAACCTAACTATTCACAGTACTGCTGAATGTCTTCCAATTTGTCAGAAAGCAAAAATCAATTTTTCTAGTCTTAATTGAATTTCAAACAAATGCCCACACATAACCTATGAAAACAACATTTTTATTGCTATCTTAGACAGCAAGTCTGTTGATTGTGATAGTGTGGCAGAACAATGAAACTCTTTGAGGTGTGTTATAGGATTGACCAAATGAGTAAGTGTGTTGATGCTTTGATTTGGGGAACCCCCATTGTCACTGTAGAAGAAGGGACAGATAAATATGGAATAAGAGAAGATAAGAAAGACCCTGTAGGGATGGACTGAAACTGGAAATATTAGTATGAGCTTATAGTTTCTAATATGTATCTATGTGCCCACATATACATATAAGTATAAATGTAAGCACATGTGTGTAATGAACGTGGAGATATGTGTATTTTTTGGCTCTGTCTGCTGAAAGTAAGAACTAGATCATCCCAGGTCTGATCTCTCATACCATTCCTAGCTAATGGGAATCAGGGCTTCTTGAAGAAACAGCTAATCCCAGGACTAAAGCACAATAGATAAAAGGTACAGTTCAAATATCTCACTATGCCAGAAAGTAATGAAGTGCTTTAAAACAAAAAACAACCATGAGACAAGCCAACAAGGGCCTGGAGCTCCTACTGGTCAAATGTGAGATGATTTGAATGCCAAAATACATAGTGAATGTAGACCATTGGAAATTTAGGAATTCATTATTCTATACTGACAATGAATGTAGTGATACATAAATGAAGGAGAAAGGAAGGTTCTTGATCACACTAGAATGCTGAGGACAAATGAATAAATATGGAAGAAATTCTGAAGTAGAAAAAATTATATTGCAACCATCATGTAAGTATTATATCAGATAAGAATTATCAATGAATGCTCATTTTAAGTGACCGTTTTTCAGTAGGGAAAATAATATTGGCATGGTCTTCTTACTACAAAGTCACAAACCAGGGGAGGACAGTAATTGTGCATTGAAGAAAGAAGGCAATTCCTTGACCAGACAATCAAAATTAGCATCACCAATGAGAGACAACAGATGGGCATATAGTATGCCTCCAGATGGCTATCCTGAGAGAGGCACAATATCATTTATGCTGTGTTCCAGCCAAGAATATGTAACCTAATTTAATCAAAATGTAGAATGCACTGTTTTTCTTTTAAATGTGGGAGGATTGGATCCTTCAAAAATGTCCATATCATAAAAGACAAAATAAGGCTATTGTTTGAAATGAGGCCCAATAGACATGAAAACTAAGTTCAGTTCTTACCTCTAAAATGCATCCAGCATTGAGAAGAGAAAGGATATTATTAGACCAGCTGACAAAATTACAGTAGGGACAGTAGATAGGTAAAAGTACTGTTATCAGTATAAAATTATGAGGTTCATACTATGCAAGAGAATCTTATTTTTAAGAAATACATGCTGGCATATTTAGGTACAAAGAACCATAATGGCGTGTATAACTTACTCTTAAATGTTCTAAGACAGTCATCAGTGGTTCATACCTGAAATCCTAGCTACCTGGGAGGCTGAGGTTGAAAGGATCGTAGTTCCAGGCCAGCCTGGGCAAAAAAGTTTGTGAAGTTCCATCCCAAATAATAGCTTGGTGTGGTGGTACATGCCAGTCATCCTAGCTACTTGGGAGGCATAAATAGAAGGATGTGTTCCAGTCTGGACTAAACAAAAAAGCAAGACCCTATTTCCAAAATAATCAGAGCAAAAGAGCTGGAAGCATGGCTCAAGCAGTAGAGCTCCTGCTTTTCAAGTGGGAAGCCCTGAGTTCAAACCTCAGTACCACCAAAAAAGTTCTTTAGTAAGAGATGGATGGAGTATAGCTAACTAACTCAGTAACCAAAGTAGAACTAAGGGGCTTGGGATATAGCTCAGTGATAAAGCCCTTGCCTAGCTAGCGTGTGCAAGGTCCTGGGTTCCAGCCCCAGCACTGAAATATACATATATAAATAGCAAATAACATCCAAACTGTTTCTAGATTGTAGGATTTAACATGTTGATATACAAATAAGTAGATGGACCTCCGAATTGGTCAGATACCTGTTACTAGACTGGATTTCCCAGGTTCCTGGGGCCATATAGAATGTTAGGATCAGTATCCTCTGAAGCTTTAATATGGCACCTACAAAAAGGGTGAGTTGTTTTTCTTCTCTTTCTTTCCAGGCATACCCAGAATATCTCATTACCTACCAGATCATGAAGCCAGAAGCTCCTTCACAGACTGCAACAGCCGCAGAGCAGAAGACCTAGTGAATGCCCATGGTAAAGGCCAGATCGGATTCCAACCTGGGACTGGATTACAGTGGATTGTTTCCAACAAAAAATGAATAGTCTATAAATCCCTGACAGCCTAGAAATAAGCTACTTGTCTTTTCTAAAGCATTACTATAGTGATGAATATAGTATGAGTAAGTGATCCATACTCAATTGCTACTGCTCCCTTTGAGGAGATGTTTACAGGGGTGGCCTTTAACATATCTCAGGCTCATTCTCATGGCAGTGACCCATTTCTGATGCAAGATTGCTTTGATCTGGACTTGGAAATGGAGAAGGATGACATAATCAATACTGTTTCAAGTGTTCACAATTCACACACTACATTTGCTTTGTTATCTGTGACACATGTGTAAAGCAGATATACAAATAAGACAGGCTCATTTTAAATTTTTTCCAAACATGCATCATTGGCCTGGGTTTTTTTTGTTGTTGTTACTAGTTTTTTTGTTTCTTTTTTTTTTTTTGTTGGGGTGTGGGTTACTTTGAAAATGAGCCAGAACCTTTGGAGGATACTTTGCACAAAGTCACACTGACTGAAGTCATTAACTGTGCAACCTCAGCTTCTGGCTGAACAAGATCCTGTTTCACTTTTTTGTTGTTTGATTTTTGTATCTGTGCTTACTGTTAATATAAATTGAGATTAAAAAGAAAAAAGCATCACGCTTTAGTTTTCTTTTATAAATTGGCCCAATTTTGCAAAGGAAGGCACAAAAATCAGCCTGATCTAGGAGCTCCCAAATTGAGAGAAGTCAGAGCCGGGGGACAGCCACTTGCTCTTTCCAATATAGCCTGCTGCAGGGATATTCAGGACTGTGCTGGAAATCCCAGGAGAGCACAACCGGGGATGTGTTTGAGGCCGACAGCTTCTGTTCTCAGGTGAAACCACTAGAGAGGCTGTGAAGGAGGAGCCATGTGTGCTGTACATTGCAGCCTAGAAAGGTGGAAGGGACTCCTCAAAGAATAAATACTTCCCTTCACTTAATCTGTACTACCAAAACTGTTGCCCCCGAAATTTGTTGCCTTATTTCCAAAGACAGTGAAACTATTGTATGTCATTAGGATTCCAAAGTATTACTTTATTTTCTCTTTAGTTTAAAATTGTAGGGTTTACACCCTGTATAATAGATACATGTACACAAATACAACAACTTTTTTTGTTTACTTCAGATTTGGGGGTTTGAGTAGCATGCTTCAATTTATAAAGATTCCTGCACTAAATTTTTGAACCATTTCTTCAAACTTCTTAATGTATTTAGATAAGGAGAACAAAAATCGAAACCAAAGCCCTTTTAGTTATTTTTTTAATGAACCTGATAAAGAAATACCATACTGTTTTCTTTATGAAAGTACTGCTTGTTTTCATCAGCCTTTGCCAAGTGCACATTGACACTAAGTAAAAATTTTCTGCTGCAGTTCTTACACTTGCCCTCTTCACATTAACTGAATTCAGTGATCAGGTACATTGTTTTATTTATGTGACATCCCGTGTCACTCAGCATAGAAGCAAAAGTCAACAGTAGAAAAATAGGAACCAGTGTGACACAAGTTTGCTGTTTCAATTTAAAGTCCTGAAAACTAATTTGAGCCTTGTTTTTGTTTTGTTTTTTTTAAATGCAGGCTGATTAAGCTGTGACCTTCTTTAATCTTCAAAAGTGAAATAAAATGACTACATGCAAAATTTCTAGAAATAATCTCTTGAAATATACTTTTTTTTTTTTTTTGGTGGCTTGAGTCCAATGGTAGAATTAAGCATCCAGACTGGTTTGAGTTTTGTAGTTGAATCTTGCATGGGTCTTCAAAGTTGAACCAAGAATTAGCCTCAGTTGTTGCTTCTACTAAAATGATAGCAACCCAGGGTGGGTGTTTGTGTCGTGCTGCGTGTTTGGTATCACTAGAATTCCTTATAAAGCTTCCAAATTTGATATTCAGTAAGAGGACTTTCTTCTTCCTTTCCTTTTTACTGTGTGTAACAAAGGGTTGAAGAAATCACCATCTGTGTAGTTTTCAGTAGCTGTGAAGTGTGTATTACATGCCTCCACTCCTGACATGGTTGAAAATGGTAAACACAGCTGTGTTAGGTAAACAAATTGATACGGTGTAGATATGGAAAGCTTCATGAAAAAGATAAACCACTACCAGACTGTGGTTGTATGTTGTGTCACATACATCATACTAACTAGATTAATGGATGTGCCAAGTTTTAAAGTTGGGCCTTGCATTGAGAAGTTAATCAGTGGTTCATTATTTAAACTGCCAGTGTTGTCTGATGTTCTGTGTGCCTCTTAAAGGTACTGTATAAGGAAGACATTTGCAGTGCTCTAGTCATGTAATGATTCAAGTATGTCCTAGTTCTTAAAAGAATATATGCATATTATCTGCTAAGGAGTGTGCATTAATGGACATATCACAGGAGCCAAACAGATTTTTTTTCAGAACTTGAAAACCAAAGGTCATCATGAGTATACTTGAGTTGGAAAAGTTGATTTCATTTGGAATTTCCATGTATTGCTATGTGAAGAACCCTCTGAAATGTAAAAGCCTGACATTACATTACACTAAGTCTAGTTTCTTGTAGATGCACTCTTTAGAAACACTAGCAAGTCTGGGATGCCCTGAAATGGCCCCTCTGCCTCCCAAGCTGATGGAAGAGAGAATCCAGACATTTCCATCATCTTTACTGGAGTTCAAATCAAAGGGCTTCTCTAGACTTGATGGTTCCAGGTTAGCAGGTTTTCGCCAGCTAGATACTGAAGCATAAATTAAGTACCCTGGCCACTTTTTTCTTTGTACTTTACCTTCACTTTTTCCCAGATTGCTAGTCAGGAAAAATTACCTTTTACCCAACGCATTGCCTTCCTTTTTTCATCTTGGGTATCTCTCTATTTCCATATCACAACCAGAACTGGGTTTGGGCCTCATGCATTCTCTCTTCAAAAGATTCTTCCAGTTTGTTAACAAGTGACTGCATGGAAACCAGAGTAAATTCTATGCAAAATGATAGAGTACATTAGGATTTTTATTTTCCCTTTCCTTCTTAGAGTTTAGAATTTCTAGTTAAGTAGAAATTCTAGCTAAGCGGCATAACTAGAATAAACAATATTGTGTGTTTTCTTGAAATAGTATCCTTGTGTACCTTATAGCTTGGTGTGACTGCCTAAACTAATTTTCCTTTGCTCTCTTTAAAATAGCAAAGTGCATTGAAATATCCAGAGAAATGCCTGAATATGGCAAAGTAATATAGATTAACATTCTATTATCATAGATAATATACAAAAAAAATTTCTTGGTTAGTGCTGGAAAAGAGCACTAGAATGCAGTAAGTTGTCTAGCTTTTTTCTGTATTTCAATATATTCCCCAAATGCACAAATGATTATTAGACATTGCTCCCCACTCCCTTTTTAAACATGTACACTATTTGGATTCCTGCAAATGACCTTGCAAACAAATGGTTGTATTCTTAAGCACCTTTCCCCAGTGCTCCCAGTGATACCTGTGACAAATAGCCTTCTTACTGTGTTTTCTGTCAGCTACTTATCTTACATAGAGCTACAGACTGTACTCATTTAGCAAATTTCAAAACTGACATTAAAATAGGGTTTCATGTGTCAGAAAGTTTTTAAAGACTGAAATTAAGATTGTTTGATGTCAAGTCAATGACAGAGAAATGAGAGTAATTGTGAAAGTAATAATTGAGCTATCGTTAGACATATCTAGCATATGAAAAAGAAACACATTAAAAAAAATACCACCTTTGAAAGTGAGGCTTCTTCAGGAAATTTGCGCCTTCTACAGTTAATAGACAATTATATTTTCTTCTTAAGAAGGCCTTAACTATGGCAGAAACTTTATAACCTTTTATATTCTAATAAATGAATCATTGTAATTCCTAATTTCATTTCTTAGTGTCTAAAAGATGTTGGTGAGTTGAACCTGTGTCCATGTATTTCATTTGTGGTAAGCTGATTTTATGAGGGTATATTTTATGGGTAATACTCCTTCACACACAACAGAGCTGATGAATCAATTGTTCCAATTTCTCCATGTCTGAAATCCTCAGCTACCAGGTCTTGGAGGAATGCTAGACAGATTTCAAAGCCTATTGAGTTGTACATTGGGCATACAATAACAACTGTGATCTCATGTAGAGTCTGTGACATGCAAGCTGTTTTTTAATCATTTTAAAATATAAATTATGATATAGTAAACTGAAAAACCTGTAGGAAGCTGAAGATTTTATATACTCCTTAAGAACAAACACAGTCGTGGCATGACCAATTTTATATTTCTGCCAGGGAGTTCTGCAGAACTCTGACACGACATTCACACTATACAGATGACTACATTTCAACTCTTCTTTCACCTTCTCTTTTCTGCATTACACTTACATGTCTACACTTCCCCTCCACCATCCCTTCAAAGTTTTCTATTGTCCTCCAGAATTCAGATCGTTTTGGTGTTTTTTTTATTTAATCTGTGTGCCCATTTCTGCAGGCAGTGCTGAATGCCTTTTATTGGAATTTGATAGTGGGGTATCCCTCACACATCCTCATGCTCCTCCAGTGTTCAGGATGAAAAGTTAGAAAACACCACAGCCAAAGTTAGAAAACACAGAAATCTTTAAGGCTAATAGCCTAGACCTAGGAGGTGACCTTGACTTAGAATCATTGCATTCACAACTGCACAAAACATTTAAACTCTTTGTGTGCATATAAAACCTGCTTCTGCTCTCATTGTTTTAAGCTAATCTTTGTGGTAATAATATTTGTCTTTGATATCTACAAAACTAAAAAGGTACTTTAATCAACACGGTTTCTCAAAAACATTTACAAAACCAGCTTTGAGGAAATCTAGACTGTTTCCTGGCCAGCATTTGGAGTAGTAATTGTATTTTCTCATTGTGATGTTGTTCTGTGTAAGTAACCAATGTAATGATGACCCTTTGGTTTATTTTCCATGTTGTTTTTAGCTTTAGTTTGTGTGATCCACCAGTGACTGGGGACTCCAACCCCTGCCCCTTTGTTTTTTGCATTTGTGTATTTGTAGGATTGTCAGGTAGAATATAAGATATCCAGTTAAATTTGAATTTCAGTCACAGTTTTTTAGCTTAAGTGTGTTTTCATGC